TCATTAGTGGTATATGTTCAACATATTGAATAATTTTTTCCATTGAAATTCCACAATATGTGGTTTCCCCCTTCCACACGTTCTATAGTTGGCTAAATTTCAGTTAAGCAAATGAAAAACAATAAGTATTTGTACAGCAGAAAATAAAATTCACCCCATCGACTTGATGGACACCCCGTTTTCACTTTTTCCGACTCTTCCCTATAATCTCTGACTGTATTCGGCCCAATTAAAGATTAATCGATATATAACGAATGTTTTATAATGAAAAAAAAAATGTATTCAAAATAATTATCACATTTTTGCGCTTTATTTCATACAAAAATTGTACAATATTGCTAATATTTTATTCGATATTGCACTCTATCGAACAAGTGAATGATGAAAAATGATGCAGTCAGTGGAATGAAAAATATATTACAATTTGATGGTCTCATTCAAGTTTCTCAAGATTATTTCCCATCCAGGCCCTCATGCTGCCCATGTCATAATTCCCCTGCACATCCTGAATAACAAGACTGGATCCCTGGTAGTTGCCATCATCAATACTCATGAAATGGCCCCGACTAGCACCAGGCTCCATCGTCGACATGTAAATCTCACAGTCACTCACCACACAACTACTCATCCTCCTGAGCTTCTTCCACAGCAAGAACAATGTTGTATCCTTGATGTCTCCCCTCCACGCTTCAGCATTCTCATCCTCTTTGAACTTCCTGAGCTTCTGATCGTCAACAAAATCTTCGAGGAACTCAAGATGCTTCCTCACCTCGTCAGCACTGTACTGAGGATCAATGATTCTCCCCAGATCATCGAGATCCTCGCTCTCTTTCGATTTGACGATCACCTGCATTTTGAATCTACCCTTCCTCCCATAATTCACAGCATCTGGAGAGAAAGGCTGGATACCACACGATTTGAAGCCTTCTGGAATGACTTTACCAACGTCGACCATCCTCAGAGAATTAACCAGGAGCGGCACAAAGTTCTCCTTCTTTATCCTCTTCCTGTTGTTGTTCATTCTCCAGTGTTCAGTGGCGATCAGCCATGCCTCCTTCAAATCACCGAAAAACTGGAAATCCAGGGGTTGCAGTATGTGCCCCATGTTAGGATGAAGTGGCAGTAGATGAATCTTATTGGTCATGCAGAATTTGCTGAGGGAGTGGGTCATAAATACCGTGTTGGAGTCTAGAAAAATTACCACTGGTTTCTCGATTTCATTTGTCTTTAGCCACTTGTCAAATACCTTGGTGAGATATTCATGAAAACCTTCTTTGGTCATCCAGCCGTCGGTGGTCTTGCCAATTGTCCAATTCTCTGGAAGCTTGGACAGCATACCAGGACGGATTCTATCCTGCTTGAAAACTATCATGGGAGGTGCAAGGCTCCCCGTGGCATTGGCTGTGAAGAGACTGGTTGCACACTCATCGACATGATTGTGGGTGAAACTAAAGTCTGCCCTGTCACCTTTCCTCACGATAATCTTTTTGCCAGTGGGATTGAAGATGAACGCTGCCTCCTCGGTGGTGAAGATTCTCGATGGATCGATATTAAATAGAGCATTGGTCTCCAGGTATTTTCTCATGTGTGCAAACCATTGCCGAACAGATGCCTCAGATGGTGCAGTTTTGGCATAGGACAGGTTCTTCTTGAATCTATCGACAATTTCCGCATGACGTTCCTCAAAGTTCTTGTACCAGTTGTGACCTGGCTTATCGTTAGAGAAGATATTTTTTCGTTTAAGCTCCTTGAGGCTCGTCTGGACACTGGCGCACATCTGGTTCTTCTTCAGGGCAAAACCCACCTCGGAGATGTCATTGACCCACCTGACAAGCTCCATCTCCTCAGCTTCGTCGAGCACTGGAGGTGGCCCGGATTTACCGTCAATGGGGTGGGTACCCTTGAACTTGGACATCAACGTGGTCTTGGGTACTCCATACTCGATGCTCACCTCTCGCAGGGAACGACCACATTTCACCGCTTCCAGCGCATCCAGGAGTTTCTGGCGAGGGTATCGCTTGCGTTTTTTCGATGGATCCGTCATTACCCTCGGCATTTCCAACCCCTCGAACTGCAAATCCATGATTTTTCAACATTATTATCAATAATTCAGTAGCCAACTCGTAGCCAACTTTCCTCTCTGCTACTTTTATCCGAAAATATCTCCGGAATCATCTTGATTGTTGTTTACCTGTGATCTCAGACTTAACCTCTGCAAATGACAGCTCTTTATAACTCAGCCAATCCAATCATCTCCAACAAAAACACAGGAGATGCCATAAATTCTTCTACACTAGTATTCGTCTGTCAACACTTTCATTTACAATTCCAATTAATCCTAATCATTCTCTTTGCCAACTACAGGAGTACAACTGTAATCAATTTTAATCACCTGCACATTTGAACTCATTTTAGGCCAGTGACACGTATTAACATTTTTCCCGTGCATTCGGTACCATTTACTCCGTGTCATGTATTTTTCCTTCGATTTACTATATTTCAAAGCATTAATTTACTGTAAATGTATCAATTAAATTTATAAAAGCGAAGGAGTGCCATTTTGCGTGCGTTCGATTGTCTGTTGCGTAGGTTATAAATACAGTCCGTAGCTATACGATCCAGAAGAGTTTCCAGAGTTTAACATTAATCATAGAAGTTTCTCAAGTTAATCAATTTTTCTCTGGACACAGGAATTTTGTAAAGAGAAAAAAAAATCTCGAGCATTTATTTGTAGTTTCTTGGAAAACTACATTTTAAATAATGTTTTGGTGGTAACTAGGATGCAATTTTTGTGTTAAAATTTTGGCGCGCCACGTAGTGTACCGTCCGTTGGGCAATGGTTGCCGGAAGTAGACGTCACCATTGCCAACTACATGATGAACAAACTAAACTCCCGCAGTGGTGTTCTCCCTGGTTGTGCCCCTCCGTGCCCCAAGGTGCCCCTCGGACCAAGTGGTGTGCTGGTGTGGTGTGTCAAACGGGTATGAACGGGTACAAGATCGCGCGAGTCGTCAGCCCACAATAATTCCCAAGCTCATTATTTTTTTTCATTTCAAGTTAGTGAATAAAGTATCCCGGGATTGCCATTTTTATCCAAAACTCCACTACACACCACTGCACTATTAAACGACAAATTCTCATAATTTATCAGGTAAGTGAATATTTGAGGTGCCAGCACGACGTAAACCCAACGTGCGCCACCTCTCAAGACATAACGGAGATTTTTCACCCATTTTCGATTTTTCCACTAAGAACTGCCAAATTATCCCGAACCTTCGCTATTTTCGGATATTTATGTGGTGTTTCACGGGCTCTAGAGATCCAACTGCGTCTTCCTCGTACAGCTCAATTGTTGTGGTACCTTCATTAAGATTTATGCTTTGCTCATTATCTCGGAATTATCTTTTTTTTTTTTGGGGGACTTGTCAACATATGATCGGGGCTGGGCTAGCGAATTAACCCACATCAAGGTTATTCACGCACTCTAGTAATCGCCCATTGTTTTTCCCAAACTCCCAATGATCACATCAATGTTCAATTGCATGTGACGTGGGAATTTTTTTTCCCTTGTACTTTGTTCTGCATAGTCATTCCAATAAAAGTGTCGCCAGTTGTTTGTTTTATTTTTTTTTCATGTTTCTGTCTGTTTGCTAGTGAAAGATGTTCTTCTGGGACTGGTTTTCCGGAGTACTGGGCTATTTGGGTGAGTTATGAAATTATTTAAATAATCAACTGGTAGAACGAGCTAATTCAATTTTTTTATTTATTTTTTTAATTCACCACTTGATTGAATTTTCAGGTCTATGGAAAAAGGGCGGTAAGCTGCTGTTTCTTGGGCTGGACAATGCTGGAAAGACGACACTACTCCACATGCTCAAGGATGATCGGCTGGCTCAACACGTTCCCACCCTGCATCCAAGTAAATAACTCTACTATCACTCATTTATCATTCGGTTTCCTCCATCAATATTTATGAGTGATTAATCACGTATTTCTACCTCCCTAGCGTCCGAAGAACTTTCAATTGGAAATATCCGCTTCACAACGTTCGATCTCGGAGGCCACACGCAGGGTAAAAAACATTTTTACAAGTCTCAAAACATTTCAATTAGTTGTTTAGTAGTGTTTTTCACTTGAAGCTTGAAATATCCTTGTTTATAATTAATATTGAAAATATTGAATTGCAGCACGTAGAGTATGGAAGGATTACTTTCCCGCAGTAGATGCAATTGTATTTCTGGTAGATGCAAGTGACACGACACGACTACCAGAGGCCAAGGTTGAGCTGAATGCCCTCCTTACTGACGAGCAACTCAGCTCATGTCCAGTACTTGTATTAGGCAATAAAATTGACAAGCCTGGGGCCGCCTCTGAACAGGGCCTCATGAATCACTTCAATCTATACGGCCAAACGACTGGCAAGGTATGGCTTCTTAAAAATTTAAATATCTCAGTTTTCATGTGAAATAAACTTTGCCCTATTCTGAGACTCCTCAAATAAATTCCACCTATTTTTCCTTTAAATTTTTTCTAGGGGAAAGTACCCAGAAGTGATATACCCGGTCGTCCCCTGGAGTTGTTTATGTGCTCAGTGTTGAAGAGACAGGGATACGGCGAAGGCTTCCGTTGGCTCGCCCAGTACATTGACTGAACACGCACGTAAACCAATCCAACCATCCAATTCTCCCCCTCATTAAACCCGGGAAAAAACAAAAAACCATCTGATCACAAAGCAATTGGTACCTTATTGTTACGATTTTTTTTTCATCAGTGAATTTAATTCGCGCATTGATATCAGACGTCATTGTATTTTATTCGAAATCAATCTGATGTTTTTGCTGGAATGACTTGTCTTTTTAATTGACTAAATGATTCGTCTCGAGAAAGAATCAGAGAAGCCAGGAGAAAGCAAAGCGAGAGATTTTTTCACCGACTTTGGAAGCTGCAATGTTGAGACGATTGATATGAAAATCAATGCAAAACCGTTTGGGAAATAAACAGGAAAAAAACATTTTGATAAATCAACATACATGTATGCAGTACATTTTCTATTCTGCTTTAAGAGCTTGGGATTTATTTAAGGAATGAACGGATGAATTGAAAGGCCAGCTCTCATTGTTGGAAGCGAATTAGTATCTAGTCATTTCCATTGACGTGTTCTGCTTGGTTTTATGAGCATACAGTGTTTAAAAATTCGTATTTAACTGGGATATACAGAGGTAAGTCATTTCATTTATAATATATTTCCATCTTTGCCGAGCTAAAAATCAATGGAGAAATCTTTCCCAATAATAAAATATCCACGTAACCATGAACATCCATTAATATCCAATAACAAGTGTCCTAACTCATCCCTCTGAGACCTTCAATTCCTCATCATCAGCCAACGGGCTAAACATGTTCTCGACGTACGTATCTGTAACTTCCTCGAGCCGGTTAGGATTCCATTTGGGTTTATTATCCTTATCAATGAGAAGAGCCCTAACACCTTCATAAAAATCGCTGTCTCTTCTGGAGGCAGCATTGGACAGCCTATTTTCCACCTTGAGACACTCAAGCAGACTCTTTTTCTTCCCCCTTTGCAGAGCCTTGAGGGTCAATTTTAGTGACGTTGGGGACATTTTGCTGAGATTATCGATAATCCCCTGAGCCCAATCATCCCCATCATTCCTCAATCTTTCAATAATTTCTTCAACAGTATCAGCTGAAAAATACTTGTCGATTCGATCTAGATGCTTTTCTAGAGAGAACTCTGCTGGAGTTTTATCCTCGTAACTATGGAGAATAGCCTCTAAGCCTTTCCCCCCAGACCTGAGTAAATCATCAGTCAATTGCTGGAGCCTGAGGGATTGAACGTAGTGAGTGGCGATGCCAGCGAGCTTGACATCAACTCCCTTGAGCCTGTGGCCAGTGAGCCCCAGGAAGAATCCGAGGTGTCCACGTAAACGTGGAAGTACGTACGTCCCACCAACATCGGGGTAAAGTCCGATCGCAGTCTCCGGCATCGCATACACTGTTTTGTCAGTGGCAACACGGTATTTACCGTGAACTGACAGACCAACACCACCTCCCATCGTGATTCCATGGATCAGAGCTACATAGGGCTTCGTCAGAGATCCAATGAGGTAATTCAGAGCGTACTCCTCTCGAAAGAATTTGCAGCTGGCTGCTCTACCCCAGGGCTCATTCAGGCCCTGGACGAGAGACTTGACATCTCCACCGGCGCAGAATGCTTTATCACCATTGCCTCTTATCACTACGAGACTTTTAGATGACTCCCATTTCTTTAGGATAGGCGCGATCTTCTGCACCATTGAGAGGTTTAACGCATTTAATGCTTTTGTACGGTTCAGGGTTATCAATCCACTCTCACCAACCTGTAGACATTTTTTTTGTTTCGAAATTTATAAGTCACCTAAGATTTTTATTCCCATTTTGCTTCGTTCTCCGTGTAGTAAAAGTAAAAATATTTATTTATTTTGTACCTCTTCGAAGAGAACGTCGTCTTGCTCTCCTGATTGATTTACCTCTACATTTCTATTAGCCGCTGCAATAAAAACGTGAACAACAATTTTCATTGATGGAAATTAATTTTTTATTCATTGTTCTATATTTTTCTCGTGACGTGAAAATGACAAAATATATATATAACTAATAGGCATATAGTTGTTTTTGTCATTATCTGAAATTGACAGAGACAAATATAAGAATAATTTATCGTTATTAATTTTCCATCTCACCAATATTATGAGTCGCTATGGATCGAGACAGGATGTTCTGCATCGTCCTTCTAGTATTGGGCACCAGTAGCTTTGAGGTTATATTTTCCATCTGATCGAAAATAACTTTTCATTAGTAACTGCGTTGTTAGATTTTTCTTGGCTAGTTACCGTTTATAATGGGAGCGATAGACTTTGGCTCCTCAATTGCCTGTAAATTTTTCTGTTTGTTCTGATGATTATTTGGTTAATGTTATGACACACACGCTTTTACGCCAATATCGCGTATCGCGTGATATAGTACTCTCCAGTATTCTGCACTATTCAAGGTGATCACATAATATATTGCTTATCGTTTATCGGCGGTGGGAGATATTTATTCGCGATTAACGCAAAAGAAGCAAATTGAGTAAGTGTAATATATGCATTTTATTGAATTTTTTCCAAATATATTGCTTGTAATCAGGTCATCATGATCGACTGCCTCCCACAACCAGGAGCAAATATCTATACAGACCGATGATATCTACGTAAAGTTGTGTAGTAGCAAAAAGCACTTCATCAGGACTTATTTGAATTCTTCTACCACCCATGATCGTTTGAATATCGAAATATAAGTACTGTAAAAATGTAAAGTAACATTTTCCGTTTAACAGAATTTTTCAGTTACTGTCTTCTGATTACCAGAGAAAAAATTAGCGCTCCGACACATCCAAATATAGTTATCACGGCCGGAATATTGGTAAACATCAAGGTCACCATGAGGAGGAGGAGGGTCATAAGCCCGAGGAACGCTAGGATACCCAGGACACCCGAATATTTCGTAAAGTCAAACTGCAAAGTTGAAAATTTTACTTGAAACCTCTATCGCACTAGAAAATTAATTTTAGGAAATTGCACTCCATTTACCCTGCAACAAACGGCCGCGATAGTGATGAAGATGGAGACCGCAGCTGTAACACTCACAGCTATCAGAACAACTTCAACATCAAAGTAGACGGACACGTAAGCCGATAGATGAGATTCTGCTAGAGTCTTGATTTTTTTTTAATTACATAAAAAATCAATAAAAATATGAATAAAAATCACTATCAGTGGAATTTTACCAAGAGCAGTAGGCAAATTGCACCCCAGCCAGATTGTCTTCTGCCGCAATCGGTGAGAGAGATGCTACAATACGAACAAATGAACCCTACCCTTGAAAAATAATATTTCATTAATATGGAATAGCGAGATGACCGTATCGAGTTGGATAATTACATGGCAAGAACCCACAGATACCAATGCATCTTGATGAAGATATTGGCTGGTTCACTGGAAAAAATTATTCGTATACGTAATATAAGACTTTTTGTTAGGATGGGAATTGGATTGGAAGACAAATCACTCACTAGAACATGAAGAAGGCAATATAGAGAGCGGTGAATATAAACTGCAGGAAGAGAATGAAAAATACTTTTTGGATGAATAGTCTCCGAATTTTGCCAACTTGAAATTCAGCAAAGTACTCATCCTCGGGCATTGCTGCTCGTCGCTGCTGCTCAAGCCACGCACGATAAATCGCTTGATTCTGCATTTCCCTTTGCCTCACCATATTCTCATCTACAATGACTTCATAAGGCCCCTACATAGACAATTCAATTTTCTCTAGACAACCAAATTCAACTTCAATTGAATTTCATCACTATTTTTGGTCTTTACACTCTGAATCTTCTGTCCCTTAACCAGGGGTGGAAGGTAGGGTGGGCCTCCCGCTGCTACAGGAATACTCTGCATCCCGAGTGGCTCCGGTCCTCCGTAATTTTGAGGTGCAAGTGAGGAATACGGAGGAGGTTCGTCTCTAGTGTGAACAGACATTTAATCAACTCATCGTATAATCAAATCGCTAATTAGAACTTTCAGAAAAGTCTTCCCATCTCAGGGAAAAATTATCTTTACTCAAAAATTTCACCTCGTGTTGAGATCTCGTCCGGGCGCTGATCCCATACCCCCAGGTTATTTCATCAAGCCACAAATGCCCATATATTTATCCCCGTACATTAAAAGATAAAAGAGCAATTGGTTATTCATTTGTTTCAATTTCGTTCAGTCGATTTTTCTTCATACTATAGCGTCGCTCCAACCACTAAAATTCCCGTTTACAAATGTCTAAAAACTAAATCGACCCAAATCAACACAAATACACGTACCTTGACATTCACATAATACTTTTTACATGCTCTCCGCCATGGTACTCTCCAGTCGATGCTTTTTTTTCATTCTATAATAATATTGGTATTTATCAAATAAAAAGTACAAATGCAAGTTGAATGGCACTCCTTTATTAAATTCGCGCAACAATAGCTCTATTACTCTGTATTTAAAATTCAAATATCAAACAACCGTTATTAAGATCGTAGACTCTTCTATTTATTTAAATAATCGATAGAATAATGGAAGCTTGCAACGATTCTTAAATAATCACTTGAAAATATCAAACAGTTGGTTGGAGTTTAACTCCTCACTCTCATGTACACGTGTATAAAAACTATAATGTGGAATACAATAGTCAAGTAAAACGTCATCGAATTAATAGAACGAAACATAAAAATCGCGCAAGATTGAATTAATCGAGTGAACAAAATCAAAGTAAAAAATAAAGTACATGATTCTATCCTAACTCAGGCACTCGGTAGGCCGACGAAGGAGACCTTGGTCTCTTTCTAAAAAAAAAAAGGTAACAAAGATAGTGACAACTCGCTCTCACACTTTGTCTCCCTCTCTCTCTCTCTCTCTTTTACAGACACACACACAAATTATTCGACACCTTTGCATTCCATATAGTTTGAAAATTTTTCGGCCTATTGTATCAAAACCAAAAATATCTTGTGCATGAAAAACCTTAAATATTTATTTTTGATTGTAAAAATTCCAACGCTTTCGCATCGCCGTATTTTAATGAGGCAGAAAATAATCATGATCGTATCCTCGAGTGGAAACTCATTAAAAAAAAAAATTTCACCCCTCAACCAAATCAAGCTGCTCATCAATCCTGGTACACAGTAGCTGCTTGACGTAGTGATTTCCAATAATGACAAGCTTGGAGGTGTCGTTCCCACCGAAGAGACCGAGTTTTTTCTTCTTTGTATCCTTGACAAATATCTGCACTCCTTTATCCACAATTTTGGCCTTCTGGTTAATCTCCTGCCAAGTGTAACTCCAGTCGACCTTCCACCCCCCAAATAGATCATTATGTTCAAGATAAGCAATCCTCTTGTCAGTAAGTAGTAGCACATCCTTCTGGACATTGACGTGAAAAAAGTAGACGTCAGTATTAGCGTACTTGCCCTTTTCGAGCTCGAGAAGCATCTTGTGACCCTCAGCCTCCTCCTTTACATACGGCCTAACAGGAGAATCTGGCTGTAGATATCTGGGTGGTCTTGTTCTTCGGACCTCCTCAGTGAGTTCAGCGCATCGTCTAACAGCCCCAAACGAGCCACTGGCAAAATCAATGACTCCAGCAGTAGGTCTTGTCACAAGGCCCACCACTCCCTTTCCGAATCCTTTAAAGAATCCCTCAACACCCTCTTCCTTAGCTCCAGAAATGGGTTTCATTACAACGCCAGCGACCCCGTCGACTACCCCCATGACGAGACCCTTGCCAGACCTCGCCAGTCCCTCTTGAAGATTCGCCGGCTGTTTATTTAACTGCTCCTGCCTCTTCCTCTGGTAATCCTCATCGAATGTCAGCGCAGCTAATCCCTTACCCATGGCCCCAGTGATCTTGGAGACAGCTCCGGCCATACCTCCAACAGTGTGGCCGAGCATGCTTCTCACCCCGAGAAGGAGGCCCTCTGCAAACTCTCCAGGTCCCTGTATGGCCCCTTGGAAAGGCTCGTAGAACAAATCTTCAATGCCTTTCATTGTGCCAACTACCAAACCATAAGGATTTCCAATAACATCGAGCCCCAGCACCAGCACATAAGCCTGTTTAATAGCCTGGCCAACGTAGTGGCTTGTCGCCTCGGATATCAGCTGCTGGTGGGTCATGAAGATATAGTTCCTCTCGAAATAAGCTAGCTTAAAGACAATGTCATTGATATCAGTGAGTGTCACTCCAATTCCTTGCAAAACCACATTGAGAACTTGGGGTACAGCAGATGGCCCCCCGCCGCTGCCAGTCATGGAAAAGCTCACGTGAATCTTGAGGGGTGAGAAGTGGAGAAGATCGAAGAAGTTTTTCTGCTCAGCAGTGGTGATGAGGTTGACGTGGTACATGAGAGGCTCATCTACAAGTTTCATATCCGTTTTAAAGAGTTTACTCTCCTCACCATCATTTACCTCATTAGCCTCAAAGAATACCATGAGAGCATTAATAAATCCAATGTCCACCTTCACGTGAAACTCCTGGATGAGAACCTTGAAGTACCTGAACTGTTGGACAGTACTGTGCTCGAGTAGTCGCTTGACAATACTCATCTCAGCGAAGGGTTTCACCACCGACGACTGGGCTACACTCTTCGGTGGAGGTACCGGAGCCAGTATCACCGGAAAAACACAATCGAACAGTTGATTATCGATTTGCAATCTGTTGATCTTAGCATGAAGCTGGACCTGATGAGCTGACGTTCTATACTGTACCCAGAGACCTGTTTGAAAGCTCCGTCTCATGTACCTTCGATTGGGCTTGAGTAACTCCATATTCTGATAATCTACCATAAGTTTTGGCTCCAGCATCACCCTCGGTGGTGTGTCACTGCATACTTGTACCTCCCTGAGATATCTTTGGTATCCCTCCTCGATGAGAAGGACTTCGTGGGGTCCCAGAGCCTTCCAACGCCCTCCAGAAGACTTTCTTATCTCCCAGATTATACCCGAATCGGCGATGCATAAATAAAGGAGCTCAGTTCTCGTGAAATTATTGACGAGGGAAAGCCCCAGGCCGTGAATGCTCATGGTGATATCCTGGTCGGCGATCTCGAGGTCTCCCACCAGTTGGCAATCCTCAGCAATTTTGAGAGATGTTGTAAAGAGAAGAACTCTCTGGGTTCCATCAAGAAAAGACACGTAAAAGACCTCTTCCTCGGTGTCTGGGCACTGGAATGCCCCCAAGTTGTCCTGTCTTAGATCATTCTCAATCTCTTTTTTGTTGTGGTCCTCCCAGAGGAGCTTTCTGGGCCCTGAGGGATTCTCCCACGTGTAGAACATTCGGTTGAACGATTGTAAAGATCGAACGTTCATAGAGCCTTTCTCCCAGAGGTGAATGGTGTGACATGTGTGATTTATTATCAGACCAGGAGCATTGCCAGAGCTATACCCTGACATGGTGATGTAAACCCCACCCTCGTTGATCTGGATATCAATATTCAAACCTCCATACTTGTTGTCTAGCTTCAAGAGGGTTGTGTGGACTTCTGTAAAAACGAAGGGAGCTGTTTTCTCGCTGTGTCCACCGACCTTTGCCACCAAAAGCTTCCGCTCTTGCTCGGATTCTGGCCATAAGGCCACGCACTCCCCTGGTGGGACTCGTGTGATTGAACTTGCTGGACGAGAGGCCTCCTGGCACTCTATCAGATATCTCGCATTATTTATTAGCACATAATAGGGGGTGAAAGTGATTTGCTTGGTCAGGGAGTTGTACGTCAACTGGTTGTGCACACCTATCCGGTAGTTTATTCCGTTGTACCTGCAGACCACGACTCCCTTGCTACCCGCCACGTCAATCGGAAATTTCTCCGACCAATCGCCATCCTCCACCCGGACCATCGCCTTTTTCTTCCCGAAAAAGGCCTTCGAGCGAAAGGAAAACAGAATCGGACCCCTGTAGTGCTCTGGATGATACATTACGTTCAATTGGTCTTCCGAACTCTGCAAGGAGGTCAAATTACAATTGGAAGCTTTTTTTTTTTACATGAAAAATTGGTATAAATTACGATCTCTTAAATATTTATCATCACCTTACCAAACTCTTTTCTCACAAACTCTAGTCAATTTTCATTAGCTTCAACGCTTGCCAATTTTCCATTGAAATTTTAAAAGAGGTGCTAAATTTAAGAAAACGTGATTTACCACCATCACCACAAATATCGCTGAAAATGAAATCCAACCCTGAGAATTTCATTACTCGGTTTTACGTGATTAGAAAAAAAATGGACAACATAGAATCCATGCTGGAAATTGAGGGAGACATGCACAGTGCACAGTGGATCTTTGTAAAATTGAGATGAGTGATGGATTAGTAACTCTTGTAGTTAATCAGCACCAGAATCCCAGACAGTGTGAGTAGTACAGCACTGAAAATTAGTGATTATGGAATAGTTGTGAATCACCGATTTGCCCTTTCGCCTTCCAAACTCTCCTCTGCGGCGTCTCGGTCGCATGGAGCATAGGAACTTCTGAAAGGATATCTCCTTGTGTAGATTGCCGACAGATTTTTCAGTACGGTCACTCTCTCATCTAATTATTAAAATAAGTAGCAAGAAAAAAATATCACAATAACTGATTTAATTTTTTTTTTCCAGAGATAATTTCTTTTCTCATTTGTCGTTATTGCTCATATTTTAATGATGGAAAAGGAGATGTGACCATACAGTTAAAATTCCAAAAAATATATACATCCATTGATTGTCAAGAGCGATCGCATAATGGAGAAGCGTTTTTTTCGTTGCGTTAGAAACTACAAGAAAGACTTAGTGAAGAGATATTGTCTACCTTGGCCGGACTCGTCTGCTCTTTTCCCCCTTTACTTGATTTCTGGAAAATAATTCAAATCCGACATAATTACCATGTTATTAACATGGATTTGAGTTAATTTTTCATAACGACGCGTCAATAAGCAATGAACACTAGGACAGTCAGTTAATCGAGTTAGTTAATGCACGCCAGGAGATGGACAGAACCCAGAATTAATACGTCAGAACAAGAAAATTGTTCGACTAAATATTGCAAAATAAATGATAGAACATTCTTAAATGTAGAAATAAAATGCTACAACCAAGTCCACGGTGAGGAGAAGAAAGCCAAACAGAAGATTTTAAACAATTGGAGAGTACTGATTTTATTACTTACCCTGTACGAGAGCATCAAACCAGTTTTGTTCAGCATCCAAAAGGGACAGTACAGTGCCATCACCACTGATCCATGATTGAAAGAGCAATGCATTCCCAGATCCATTATGACTTTCTGGGCACTGTCGAATGATTCAAAAGACCAAACTGAAAATTCTGGGGGCTCAGCTAGTACTTCACCTTTGCAGGACCAATCTTTCTCCAAATATTGAGGCAACTGATTCATAAAAACAACAATTATGTTGTTTTACCGCCTGTTTTACCCCCTGTCAATGCCCTCATCCACTGTTGATTCGATCAATGAGGCAATTATTGATCATAATTACCTTGATAATGATATCCGAGTTGGTGGGATCGATGTCTGGTAGTTGGAGGGTCTCACTAGCCTTGACAAGCATTTCCTCAACCGAGCCAGGCAGCACAATGACAATGTCAATGGGTAAGAAATTCTTGAGGTACACAGCCGGGTACAAGTGAATGTTGTAAATGGTACTGGCCATAGTGTGTCTATTAGTGTTTTCAAAGTACACCTGTTCAATTTCCCCCACAGCCTGGAAGAGCAAGAACATTTGTACAACATAATTGTACAGCCACTAATCACCCATTACCATCCCACATCACATCAAACGTCCATGCTAAATAATACAATTTCTATCTCTCGTCATACTTCAATCAATGTAAATTTTATATTCATGTGATGATGTTCTAAAGACTACAACTCAAAAAGTCAGTCAACAACATTTTAAACATTGCAACAGCTGGACGCTACCTTAATAGGTCCTTCCAAATATTTTGATGTGTCCTTACAAGAAATGGTTGATTTCAACTTCTTATCATTACGAAATTTTTTTAGTCTACTCCGCCAATCAACATTACTCAATAATAAATTCACATTGGTGTTATTATAGAAGATAGAACCCACCACGATGAGAGTGAAAATAATCTAGAAGTAGAGAGACCAGTCAAACCCAAATTATTGAATTATCTGTGATCTGTGTATCTCCGAATATCCCCGCAATGCAAATCTTTGCGCTAGTGCACATAGGGCATAGCTCATAAAACCACCAAAAAATTAACTAAATCTTCACAAACCTGAATGAAGAAGACGTCTTTGTTTGCTTGTTTGCCCTTATCCCTCGAGTCGCATTTGAGTACTTTGGTCATGGAGACGGTTTTCTGGAGATCCTTCCAGACGAAGGGCTCAACTGAAACCATATAGCCCTCGACACTGAAGAATAGCCAATGAATACTGGTCGGAGTGTACACAGCATCCAATGGAAGATTAAGTTTTTTATCCGGCTGTACAGTCCCCACACGTTCCACTTCATTACCCCTCTTAGTCATATAGTATACCGAAATGGGCTGAGTGAAGTGGTTGTGCACCTGGAGAATGCTCCTGAGAGTGACCACAGTGCTGCCATCCTCGACGACGACATCAGAGATGAGTCCCCATTCCTCAGAGCCCTCTTTTCTGTACTTTAGAGGAAAGAATCGCTTGTCAGCCTTGAGAACTGGTACCTCCAGCCTATTGTCAATCCCCTTGAACGTCACCACGAATATATTATCCTCCGAATCCTTAACTGCCACACTCTTCAACTGCTCAAGAACATCGATACCCCCTTTAACAGTCTTTGGTACCAATTCAATTGATGCCCCAGACTCGAGGACCACCTCCAAATAGCTCTCTGGTTGTAAAGTACTTTCAAAAGTGCTGCTAACGACCCTAAAGTTACTCTTGACCAGGTCCAGAGTGAGAGCCACCCCGGTCTCGTTTTTCAATAAATAAGGCGCAAGTCTAGAAGTTGATCCCTGGTCAGTCCTTGTCCCCATGGCATTTGAGAAGGCCTGTCCAAGCTGCTGGAGGACTTCCAAACATGTCTTCGTTACGGTGATCTCGAGGTTCTCAGAGGACTGCACGTCAATGGATATTCTCGACGGCTGCTGGAATTCCTCAGGCTCGCTTTCAGTGCTGGGAGAGAGAGCGCTGGCTGTGGGGGATTGAGAGACATCGTGAAAGGCGATTCTTGTCTTGAGTTCCCAGGAGGTGGTGGTCCGTTCCCCATTCTTGACCGCTTCGACAGGCTCAATGAGGGGCTCCCAGAGGGCCAAACGACTGTTGTAATAAGCCATTATGACGGATATCGAACTTTCAATGCTCATCGTTTTGGTACTCCAGTCGTTGATGTTACTCTGGAAAGCCAGGTGAAGGAGAAGCATCGGTAGCGTCTTGTTACCAACACCAGCTTCAAGGGTAAGAACAATATTTGGTATTGAAAGGATAGCGAGCTCTGCTTTGTACGCAGTAACCTCCTCGGCTTCTTCGAAGCCAAGAAAATCCAGTGCCTCCTGGGCAACTTCGGTTTTTAAAAACCAGTAGTCTTTCTCCTCGTAAGGAGTTATCAGCCATAGGCCCTCGTGTGTTGGATCCCCTCGTTGCTCTTCACCCATCTCTGCATCCTTAGTCGTTATCTTCTGAACAACTCGATTTAGGATCTCAATTACTCCTGGTGACACTGACACGTGTATATCCGTGCTACAGACGTCGACGTGCAGGCCCTTTCCCTCTGGTGTCGAGCCGGCAATGCTAATGCTACACGGCTTGAGCACCTGATAAATCCAGTCAGCTCGTTTTGCTGGATTATAAACTCCAGCGAGAAGAGACAGATCCTTGACTGATCCAGATATCACTTGGTGGTCACCGATCATTCTTATTTTCACTTGTAACTCTGCATTCAGTACAATGCAATTAGAGTTTATGTCATCCATGTCCTCCACCAAGATAATGTCTGGTTTCTCCACGAGGAGATTTATTGTCATCATGGAGGGTGTTGGTGGTGGATTTTTCCTTTTCAAAGCGTCTGTCCCCTTTTGAGAGGTAATTGTGGAATTTTGCGAGGACTGATTGGTCTCAACATCGAAGAATTCTTTGATCTTCATCAAGTAATCGAGGGACACGATAATGCTGAAGGAAAAGATTCTCACGTCCACGAACATGTCATTTGAACTCTTTCTCACCGTCACATCCAACATACTTCTCACCGGCTTGTCCTCCCTTGAGAGATCGTCGAGCGAGGGGACCGCCGACGTCCTCTCCATAATCCTTGTCAAAGATCCTTGACGAAGATAACGAGTGTCATCCAATGTGCAATTCATAAGGAGAATTGACGTTGCCAAAAGTCCATCCTCAAAAATTCTACCCTTCACTGCAAAGTGGCTTAAACCAAACTTAGCCAGGCCATTCTCAGGCTGGTGCAGGGGTGATGAATGGCTCTTGAGGAATTTTGATCCCCCACTAAATAGCTCAATCATCAGACTCTCCATTATAAATTCAAACTTGATGGATGTGTGGGCCTGTTTTTGGGGATGTAGGTCACTGGTTCTGCTGATCATTTCGACTTGGCATTTCGGTGAGCTTTTTGATGATCTTTGAATATCAATGGACTTTCTGGGGGCTGGATGGGGCCTTTGAAGAGGCTGGGGCTCCTCAATGATTTCTCCTAAATTTTCCTCCAAAAGTTTAAGAATCGTCGTGTAGTCCTCGTGACTCAGCAGCAATTCAATGCTCTTTAGTCTCCCTGACATATCAATATCGGGAATGGCGGTGAACCACGCTGTCGACAAGTTTCTCGTCATGAGTAAGGTGAAAGTTACGGGCTGCAACAAGAGCACTTCATTTTCGGCGGTAAAACTCTCCATGTTTAGTCTCATACGCGACAGCTTGAGGTTCTGCAATTCAATCTTCATCTCGTCAATAATAGGGGAATCCCCGCTTTCGGTGGTGACGTCTAGGGCCTTGAGACTATTGTAGATGGTCAAATGTCCCATGTCTAACATGAGACAGTGCTCACTTTTAGAGTTCATAGGAACGTAAATGATGGGTGCTTTGATTTTTATGGAGAGCTCTATCCTGGCTGCTGATTCCTGCACATCCTTGATGTTGGTTTTAGCAACTTCAGCAGCGGCCGCAGAGGCCTCTCTAATTGCCTCCTGAGCTACTTGGAAGTGATTGAGAAAATTCATGACACCAGTTACGAATGCATTTAAAAATACTATCCTATGACATCCCATTATCACTTTGATAGACATATTATTTTTATCAACGTCCTCAGCCTCGATATTGTAAATCACAGCCTCGACCTGGAGGGCCTCAGCGTCCTCCACCTCAACAATATTTTCATAAATTGAGGATTTATTGAGATCCTTGATATTGATGGAGGTGAGATTGACGTTGGCCTGAGAGTAGGAAGCCTTCATCATGAAGCCAGCGGTGATTCCCTCGATGTAGAAAGCTGTGATATCCCGAAAATCGCTGCTCATCTTCAGGGAAATTGTTCCAACTTTTGCTTTAATCTTGAGGTCGATGCACTCGACGACTCTCTTTCTCCTCCTCTCTGACTTGATCTTTTGCTTTTGAATCTGCTCCTTAATGAAGGTCGATGTGTCTTCAGGAATAACAGACAGCTGAGGCAGACGAGTTATGTGGCGATCCTTAGGTTCGTCCACGGCAGGAACAGATGGTGTTATTTTTTCCTGCATGTAACTCAGGAATTTGATAACGTTTATTAAGGCCTCTTGATGCAATAGCACATCCAATGTGGTGAATTCAAGCTTAAGGAGTTTTACAACTGATCCATGACGCGTGATAAATTCGGGGGAGTATTTGTTAACGTTTACGTATTGAATAACGACAAGGTACTCCTCACTGCCAGTGGCCATTGGTGTGTTCACCACGTAAATTTCTTGCCCGTTGTGATACTGTTTAGCCTGAACTCCTCCCAGCCTCAACATCACCTCCTGATCATAAGTCCTCTGGATCATCTCGGCCTCTACCTGGAGAATTTCAATTCTTACAAAGGGCGTCACTTGAGTGGATTCCCTTCGAGACAGTGTTAAGGTGAATTCCTTCATTACAAATTTAGCCTCAAGATCCGTCGACTGGACAGAGGCTTTCGGGGGTTTCTGCTCCTTCTGAACAGCCGTTAGCTCCTTCATATAATTCAACGACAGCTGAGATACAGATTTGGCGAGGGGCACTGGCTCAAGGGACCCCGGATCTTCCTCAGGTAGGGGAATACTCTGAATTATCGACAATGCCTGTAGAAGCCTCGCATCCTCGATACTTACTGCCAATGACGGCAGCTGCCCAATGATCCTCATCTTTGGTAGAACGGGATCATCGGTGATGAGACACTTATGAAATTGAATCTCAAGAGTGGTGGGCTCAAGAAGGGCCATCGAGTGAACAGTATCCATCAAAGCGCATTTCCAGTCCTCCCCCTCTGAAGCAACCAGTGCCTGAAAGTTGACAATCTTCAGGGCAAACCTGTCGTAACTGTATTTTCTAAGATGCATGAGGATATCCTCCTCACTCTTTCCCATGCTAACGAGCTGCTTCACCGAGCTGGTGGCCAAATCGTCTTTCGACTTCTCGAGGGAGTGAATTTTCAAACTACCAAGATTAATGACAATAACCGCAGCTTGGTCAGTGTAAAATCCACGAAATGGAACGATAAGTTGAGAAGCTGCGAGATCGACCTGAATATCGAGGCTCGAGTGCTTCTGAATGGCGTATTCGAGTCCCAGGGCCGACATCTCCTTGAAACCCTCCAGTCTTTCGGCAGCAGCTGCTTGGATCTGGGTGAGGGCCGTCTGATTCTGAACCCGAAAGAGTTTAATAAGCTCGATTATGGTTTGCGCGTCGTACGCAATGTGAATTGATTTGGACTTGACGATTATCCTGTCCCCGCATAATTTATCGAGAGGATTTTTCTCATAGGACACGGAGAATAAACTCCTGTCTGAGTCTTGTATTGAGCCAGTACTGTCTGACTTGAGAAGAGAGGGTATTCGATCGTTCTGCTTGACTCCGAGGAGTTTGAGCTCGTTGACAGAAGCTGTCACTAGCACTGCTGAGGCAGCTGGTCTTGACTTGAAAGCAGCATGAACCCCATTGAACTGAAGATCGAGCACCTCAGGGCAATCTTTATCAGTATCTGATACTGTGATCTGAAGTCCGTGGAGATAGAAGCTCGTGTCGATCATGATGAATGTCTCAGGATAATGGGCAGGTGTGCTGTTTTCCTGATAATCAATCGCTCTGAACAGCTTCTCCTTCTCTTGCGGTGTCATGGCCTCCTGGAATTTCTTCATTATGGCAGCAGCCGAGTTGAGCTCTTGGACGTCCTCCACCTGGGAGGAGCCCCAGAGAAAACCAAACCATCCCTGCTTGGCTTTAAGGCTTTTCTCCTTTTCGGCCAGTCTTTCAACTTCCATCTCGATTTGCTGTCGAATTATAACGAGATTGAAGAGATCGAGCTTTCTCTCGCACTCAGTGAGGCGTTCCTCCACCTCCTTGGAGGGCTTTTTAGCTGTCAATTTAGTTTGGTAGGTATTGGCGTAGCTCCTGCAGGTATCCCTGTGATCCTTCATGTGCAGCCAGTCCCAGTCTCTTCGACACCTACGCACTGTCTCCTCGAGGACGCATGTGTAGGCAAAATGCCACCACTGTTTGTAGTGACCTCGGTAGGAGGTGACGTCTGGACGGTATTTTCTAAAAGGAGCTGCTTTAGTCGCCCGATCAAGGCCCTCTGACAACCGCAAGAGGGTCTGATATTGGCGTTTTGTCAGGCCAATTCTAAGTTTCTGCATCTCCAAATCCAGCCAGACCTTAGGAATAGTGTAATTACTACCATCAGTCTCTGGTTTTGGATTAAGTTTGAGTTTAGCCTTGACGTTTATCGGTCCAACGAGGTACTGGTAATCTTGTGGCACGCAATCCATCGTTGCGATGCTCTCGGAGAATAGGCGAAGATAATCGCACTGGGATTGTCTACTAAATTGGAGAAGATTGGGATTGAGGTAAACGGCAAAGCCGTCCATTGTCAGGAGCTTAAAAATCTGTTGAATTGAATACATATCCTTGAGGTTGGCGGATGTCAGCCAGGAATCATTGCAACTCTCCAAGGCTAGTCTATTTAGAGTGAAGCCTATGGAGAAGGGGTGCTCTTTGAAGGTGACGTGATCCTCGTAGCGGACGTGAATTCTGTTTATCTCAACGTGAATGTTCTTGATCATTCGGGCGATAAGCTTTTCCATCATAGAGTCGTCAAGTTTCTCCTGAAGTTTGGCGTCAGCCAGCTGTTTGGATCGTTCGATCCTCGCGAGCTCTGTTCGTTTCGCGTCAAGCTCAGCTTTTGCCTCTTTTTCCGGATCATATTTGACTTGGCTCGAAGGGACGATCAGAATAAAAAGTTCTTCAATTATCGCGTCTATCTGACCGTTCCACATGTCTTTGAAGGGGATCTTTAGGATCAATTTGCCCAGACGACCGTAACCCAGTTTAATGGGCAGGTCCAGCATGTCTAGGGCATTCTCGTTTATCAGGAGGTCCGTTAGGACCACATCGCCTACGGAATTCCCGAGAAATTATTTGTTACGGGAAGAAAGGAGCCTCATATAATCACTATTTTACACACCTCCCCCAATAATAAAATCACCCTGGGTAATAAAAAAAAATATTATGTCTCAAGCCATTTCGAGACTTGTCCATTTTCAATCTTATTCTCGACTAGTATCTTTCATACAATTTGTAGAATTCAGTTGAGTCTCGTTGGAGGGTAAAAAAATAAAAATAATAAATGAAAAAACTCTTGAATAACCGAACTATTAGACTTGCTGGGCATAACGATTAATAACTTTTTCAATCTGATAACGAACAATGCATAACGCCATTGCCATTACTCTCATGTATTTTCCTTCTAAAAATAGTTAATAATGACAACACCTTATGAAACATATTATATCGTCGTAAATGATGAAATATAGTCACGCACAGGTGTTTAATCTCCGCCTAGATAGTCATAAAATTTACAGACTTACCACCCCAGAGGCTGACTTTAAGTTGCTTATAATCCAAGTTTTGAATGTATTCTCCCAGGAACTTGTTGAGAAGTTCGGTGACGATCGACTCGAAAACCATGTTGATCAATTGTGGCTAAACTGTTTAATCAATTGAAAAAAACTCAAGTTCCCTCAACACATTGTCTCTACACAAATGTCACCACTTTTTAACCTAAAATACACTTTTTATCGTTTGGATGGGCTCAGAGGAGCTTTTGTACATGTAAATTTGTATGCCACTGAGACATTACGATGGGTCTAAATTGAGTTATGACGCCAGTACAAAACACTATGGCCCATGACTAGCTCTGGTCTCTGTTTAATGTTTTGAATAGATTGACGAGTATTGCCCGCTGTGTATGCAAGTTGAATGTACATTTGAACTGGCCAGTGCGTTGTGAATTGCTTTCCACAGCCTTCACAGCCTTCACAGCCTTCACAGCCTTCACACCATCCTCCCCACCCTACTAACGCTACTAACCAAAGAGACTTGACGCACTGACCAGTCTAACTGTATGTGCATAGCTCGGCACCCTTGGCACGTTTGAGAATTCACAGTTGACAACGGTGGTAGCATGTTATTCCAAACATTTTTATTCATAATATTTTTTTTATGTACAATCTATCATGATATTGCAATGGTTAATATACATATCACAGACGCAAATGAGTCGTATTTTCTCCTCACGCACAATCGTAATTAATCGCCTGATGGGAAAACGCACATATGCGCGATATTCATATGCACGAGTAAAAAAAAATTCGACATGTCTGCAGTACAAAAAAAACACTTTCGGCGTGTCAGTCTAGGGCCGACAATTGAATTATGCATCAGTAAACAATATATTATTTTGAATAAATTATGCTATAGACGAGTTGGAGAAAATTTACTAGGGATTTTCGTCAAGGTGATGGCTTGGGTGGATGGTTATTTGCAAGGGCACTGAGAATAGCTCCTCCCAGGGTGACTGAATTGCGTTAATCACTGCCTCTGTTGCACCTTTAGAAATGAATTTCACAGTCCACAGCTCCTCTACACCGGCCACTTCGTCAAGAAAACTCAACACTAACGTGTCACCATTGAAAATCTTAAAGAATTATTAAATTTATGAGATTGAGAGTAAAAATTTGTATTGTTTAATTTTTTAGATGACTCACCACTTCAATTAAATTGCTAATTGCCTGTTCTGTTAACATGAGCGGTGTCTCGACGGAGTCTAGGAGTAGCCAATGTATACTATCCTCGGTGAGAATCAACGAGGAAGTAGTAACAACGAGTCCTCCAATGCGAATAGGTTTGACGTGCTCATTTTCAAGTTGCAGAGCAGCAGAGGAGAAGAGTGCCAGAATTCTAATAGCATCACCAGATCTCTTGAATTTTGATGAAGCCATTAGACTGTGGATGGCCCCAGTGCAGTGCTCAGGGACGAGGAATTCGAGTTCACAGCTGGGAGGTAGTGAGAGTTCTGCAAGATAAAGAAGGAGATTCGAGGTTCTCTGAAAGTCCTGAAGGATGCACAGCACGGAGATGGTGGAGGACTCGTCTCCAATTTTATTGGGTTGCTGGAGTTCGACGAGAAGACCCTGTTTGAACGGTAGAGGTGCAAAACTCCTCAGCCTGTCCATCGTCCAACTCGCGTCTTTGTGCAACCATTGTTGAGGATCCTCACCCTCTGGTCCAGTTATTCTCAGGACGTATATCTTAGATGTCGATAGAACGAGACAACCTGGAAAGGGGCGCACCTGGCTTTTCATCAGCATGTCACATCTGAGGAATAGTACGAGCTCCTCGTTCTCCTGTTCGAATACATTGAGGATCAAGTGAAGCTTTATCCTGTGGTCTAGACTTCTGAAGTCAGTGTACGAGTACTGGATGTCACTGGAGGCCGACAAATCTGGGCCTTCGTCAGATTTCATGGTGGAATCTTTGTTGGTTCCTATTCTCATGCTCTGAAGAAGTCCTACAATTTAGAAAAACAATAATATTATTCATATATATTATTTATTTTTCCATAATAATTCCGAGTGATTGAAAATATCTACCTCCAAGCATCGACGTTAAATTCGATACAGGAGTATTGATATTCTCTTTGTCACTTCCAATTAACACACTATCACTCTCAGATACACTTCTGTTGTTATGGGAATTTCCGGAGACTATGGACACTTGAAGATTTCTGTTTTCGTACGCAGTGCAGATGCTGTCAGTCAGAGAACCTAGAGAAATTATTCGACGATTAGTTCCATCATATTAATCTCGAACAGTGACCAGTCATTCTTCGATTATTCTAACCTGATGAACTACTCTCGGTTAGACCCGCCATAACAGGGGTGGTATCTGGAATTGTTAATAAGGTGGGGGCAACTGCTATTCTTCGCTCCTCTGACGATCTTTTCCGGCTTGGAGTTGATGTACACCTGATTTTTCACATCAACAAAATATAAAATACACATCGATTCACTCATGTTCTAATTAGGTTGTAAATAAAAAATGATTAATTATTATTTACCTCGAGCCATCATCCAACACCTCGATACTACTTTGACTCGGATTACTGAGGACCTCAATGTCACTCTCGTACTTTCTCGTAACTGTACTGGCCGAAGGAGTGGACTCTCTAGACTCCTCGAGACTCGTAGCTGAGCCTAAAATAAAAATTAAGATAATTGAAGCTAATAGCAATGATTCCACAAGCTAAGATAGTGATGTTATTTTTTTATGATGTGGGTGACATGAAAATCCAACATAAAACCACCAGTTGCAGTGGTAAATAATGACATGTTACAAATAAATACAAATAAATGGCAGTGTGGATATATTTTTGATGTATTTCAAAGTATCAGATTCATAAAGGCTATCTGTTTTTATATATTCTTTTTGAGGTAAAAAAGGGTGATAAGACAAGGAGTATGGGGAGTGCTGTAACAGTGAAATGACTAGTGACTGAAAGCTTACAGCAGACTTGGGCTTGGGCTTGACAGTCGGAGTACGCCATAGAAGTGGCCATAGCACCCTCTGTTCCACCTGCACCGGGGGATTAGTATGTTATATAATTCCCAATTTAATTCATTACACAAAATTCAATTCAATTCAATTCAATTTAATTTAAAAATGCAAAAACCGGTGTAATTAATATATTAAATTAATCCATCCACTAGGAGACTAATTCACCTACAAGTAATAAATTAAAAATTTTATTAGTGTTTTGCATACCATATATTAGCATACCATATATTGGAAACCAGCTCATGCAACAATTTTAACGATAATCAATACCCACCGATACTCGAATGTGAAGCTGAGTGTTTAAGATTGGATGATTGACTCTCCTCGGTATCTCTAGTCATTTGAAATTTTTGATTGGTCTTTTGATTGTCTGATTTAACCTCGTCGAGGTCTTTGATGTTTTCCCCATCGGATGAGAGTATCTCGTCCGTTTGGATAACGAGTGTACTCTTACATGAGGGGCACATAGGGGGCTTCATACCTAATAATTTTGACAAGAAAATTACTGTAAGGTGAGAAGAAAAAAAGGGAGTGAATGCACATTTAGTTGAGTTCTACTCACTCGTTGGCTGAACCGTTGATACACTGACAAAATAATCGGGATCCTGGGAGAAATGAGTGGAACATTTCATGCACTTGAAGACTTTCAGTAGAATTGGTCTGGCCTTAATCAACTCATTAACAGTCTTGGCGAGTTTTTCAGCATCCTCAGCCTCCACCAAATACGTCCTACTTTGTCTATCCCTCCTGGTGGTATCAAAATTGAAATCAATGGTTGGGATCTCTCCTCGGCCCATTACACAGGACAACACCATTTTTGTTGACCACCTGTATTTGATTTTACCAGTGATGGAATCTCTCTCCGTAAGCTCGTCTTCAGTAATCACCAAAAATAGTTCCTCTAGCTGATCATTCACCCTCTTCTGCACGAGAAACAGCTGGCCCTTCTCCTCCTCAGGGTCATACGACACCTCAAACCCACCCTCATCTCTCTCCTCCTCCTTCTCCACCTTCTCTTGGGCATTTGCAACCTCTTGAGATCCTTCTCTAACGCTCTCACCAGTAGGACTTGACTCCTCTCCTCCATCCCCCTCGATCATCGGACAATCAAGAATTAACTCAGCTGGAGTTGGTGCCCGGACAGTTCTTTCTATTCCCATAATATCTTGGACGAAACTCCCGGCATCACTACTCAGCCACCGCTCCCCACCGAATTTTTCCCTTAATGCCAAGATTTTTTTCTTAGTCTCCAGGTGGTCCATCGATGTCTCCAGGTAGGATTTCTCGACACTCTCACTAATCCGCTCCTCAAGCTTGCTTTCATCATCAGCAATTACAGCCTCCATAACGTTCTGTCTCTTTTTTTTGACAAAGGATTTGTCCATACTATTGATGGAATCCGTCATGTTCGAAGTGATTATTGGTGTGTTACTGGTATCAGAGTTGACGGAACAGCAGAAGGAGCCAGAGAGATCATCTTTAGAGGGTGATGGGACAGCTCTCATTGTGAAGAGTCTGTTTTCAGAGAGGAGAAGCTTCTCGGATTTGGAAAGAGGTGAGTGATCGAGAGCAAATTTGCTTTCGGCTAGTGAAGAATTGAGGTGTTTAATGGTTAAGATTCTATGGTGATGGTGGTAGGTGATGGGATTACCCTCGAGAGTGAGAGAGAGGAGTGCCGTCATGGTCTTGAGGGGCCAGAGAACAGAGTGATCAGCGAGACAATTGTAGGAAAGATCTAGCTCCGCCAGGCAGTCAAGCCCCTGAAGACCGTTGAGATTTTCAATGTAGTTATTCTTGAGGACGAGAGTTTGCAGGGTCCTGCAGGTGGATCGATTGAATTTGGGTACGTTTTCCAATTTATTGTAGCCGAAATTGACGTGTTTTAAATTGGGAAGACAGTCGATTTGGCTAGCTGAAGAGATAAGATTGTGACTGAGATCAAGGGTCTGCAGCCAGGGGGCTAGTTCGAACGATTTGTCGAGCCGTCCCAGGCCGTTATATGGGAGAGCGAGACGTTTTAGAGAGGGCCAAACGAAACCCACACCAGCGTCACCTCCGCAGGCTGTCAGGAGACGACCTATCGAGCCAACACCACCACCTCCAGTGCATGAGATCGACTGCAATTGGCCTCGTACTCCTTGGATCCCTGTTATAAGATCTATGCAGACCTTGTGGAGCTCTAGATACTTGAGGTGACGGAATTTAGTGATGTCGTTGGGGATCTGCTCCGAGAGAGTGTGCGAAATTTTGAGGGAGATGGTTTTCTGGACAAAGTCGTGTAAGAACTTGAGATCTCTAAAGATCTCGATCTCCGAACTGTTGCATACCTGGAAGGAACTCTCCAGGTCTTTGGAGTCGTCGACGATGAGGGAGAAAGCGTCGTTGAGGTTATGCAGGAGTTCTGTGGTGAGGGATAGTTTGGAGGAGCCATTTAGCACTTGGTCCCCATTTTTTCTAAGCAGACGCGCCAGCTCGTGAATCTCTTGCATGCTCGGCCTGCTTACTTTTGACGTAGACATTTTCTTTTTGTTTTCTTTCTCAGAGCAAACTTGACTATTCAACACTCAAAATTCTCTCATCGTTAAATTACCTAATAAAACACGAAACTAGCGTAAAACCACTCGACATTAATAAGAAACAAAAAAAAAACTCACTGTCAAATGGGTACTCACGCGTAGTTACTGAATATAGGCTGCCAATGTATAAATATTTTCTGACACAATATTGAAATGTTGACGGATTGATCCTCTAATTATATAATGTCGTGATATCTGTTTATGGGACCCAGGAATGACACTAACACCATACAGCCAGCCATCGTCTCGTTGCCTCTGACAAATTGTCACTTTATTAAATACTATAGAACATTCCAACGAGTCTCAATCGTTATATCATTGAAATATGCACTTACGATGAATCAACTCGGGCTGAGTAGCTGAGTGGTGAAAGTGTGTGGCTGCGTGCGTGTAACAAGTTGTCATTAGTGTTAGTTATGTTTATATTTTTGTTGACTCGCCCTCGCGCCCCGCGGCTCCGTATGATTATTCTGCATTACCCACAGAGATCATGCACAGTCATTATATACCACCTTCTCATTTTATGCTGCCCTCTGTTTCTTCCTTCAACTTCAATTCAAATACAATTTTTCATTTTTCAATTGGTCCGTCGAATAAAAAATGAAGATCACCTTCATCTCATCATACAGCTCTGAAAAATTGGTTTTCGAACATTTCAATAATAATAATAATAATAATAATAATAATAATAATGATAATAATAATAATAAGCACGACGGTCCCAGACTAAGGTATTTGGATAATTCCCTTCAATTTTATGTTCGCACGGTTGAATTTTTATGACATTCCAGTGAATTTTTTTAGAGAATTTTAACGGCGGTGCTAGGACTCGTTGTGATACAAACATATAGATTTTCCCAGACGTCCGGCGTCTAACAAAAATTCAAATGACACAGACTACAAGAGCCAACTTTGCAATTGAGAATTAAGATTTATTTCGATGAAAGTTAATATCGATGTTTTTGTTTTCATCTAGAGAAAAGGGGCGACAAGCCAGGGATTATGCATATACATAGGACTAGATATTGTCTATGGCAATAAGGTGGGCCCTTATAGATGAACAACATAGCTTCAAATAAATTGGTAAATTATTCAGGGAATACGGAAAGCTTGTTTTTCCGCACGTGACATAACATTCTATCGGCCTTCGCGGCGACAGGAGGCATATTTCAAATAACTAGCAGACGGGTTCAGGTGGAATTCGTGTCCGGAGGCGTCAACATCTCCAGTTACCACAATGGCGCCAATTCGGGGATCTTTGGAAGATTATAATGGGATGGGGCCCGGTGGGTTCCACTGACGTCAATCGTTTTATCGCGTTCCACACATTCCAGTCAGACGCGACATGCTGTTCCTAATAAAAGTCCTTAAATATTCCGCCAAATTTCGAGGGAGACTGATGTATTTCGCTTTTTCGTCAATTTATTGATGCGTTGAAGATGATATTCAAATTTTTGGCCATTAATGCTACTACAGCTGAAAAAGAGAATTAGCTGAAAGGTGACATTAGAGACGTTAGAAATTGGAAAGGACGATTATTTTTTTCCTAACAATTACACAATCAAATTGCATTTATTCAAGTTGAATTGACTGAAGACAAGTCTAGAATTTCGTTTTAATAATGCGGTTGTAGCTGAAATTAGTGACATTCATCAAAAACTCAATCCGAATCGGAATTCACTCATCTGACTCTTCCCATGTAAATGAATAATTAAACACCTGAGAAACTTGCCATAAATCGTGGATATTTATCGGTCTGGACACTCCTACGCTGGCGCCAGTAGCTCCAAAAATTATGCTAAAATATTATGCCATGATAGATAATTCAATTATGGAGCTATTGACCCGAATCGAAACGGAATGTTGCAAAAACAAGGTTTTCGCGAAAAGGTCAGTGAATTTTTTTCCACTGAACCAGCTTATTTGCTAAAATAACTGGCCGAAGGTGAAGGATGACTCCAATCGAGTATAGGAGTCGCCACCCCATTACCGGTTTTCGAATAACTGCCGCTCGGTTGTTGATTAGCGGGCCATCCCGAAAACGACCTTTCGAGGTCGACAGACCATTCACTGTCACATTTAAATGAATATTTCTCTTATTATTTCCGTGCTTTCTCACTTTTTTTTGTCCCTTCTCTGAATTATGCTTTACATTAAATCAATTATTAATTCTATTACACAGAAGTGTGAAGAATATTTCACGAATATCCTATTAATAAATGAAATTTTCAAATGAATTTTTATATTATCAACTTATCATCAGTCAGCTAAGTTAGTTAAACTCAGGGGAAATTGCTCTTTGTTGAGAAGGACGTTGACCCCGCGTGGAGTATGTGCCACCGTGGAATTATGTCAATGAACATATGACGCATTTCCACGTTTCAGTGAATTGAAAATAGATAGAGATGTTATATCACATTAATAGCACTTGTCAAATAGTTTACAGTGAATGATTGGTGAGTTTACGATATATTTAGTGAGAACCTGATCGTAAAATCGCACACGCAACTGGAAATTCCTGGGAGTCTTGGAGATGGCCACTACATATGGGCAAACTGTTCGATAATCCTCGAAGCCGGAAGTGAGAGGCAGTATCGTAGTGTGACAAGTCCTTCTGGGATTTATTTTTCAACTGGCGCCCTACAGATTCTTCTTAGGCATCGTCATGGCTTTTATGCGCTACAACAATACTATTTTCACAGGGAATCGGATTACGCATTACGATTCAACGTGAAGAAATATTTTTACAAGTGCTTATTACGAGTAACATCCATATCAACATCAACTCGAGCAATCTCTGCATAATTCTGTTATACGTCAATGCTAAAACAACATAATCATTAAATCATTAAATCCATTTCCTTTGATCCAAGAATGTTGGCTTGAGAGATTAGGTCACGTAGAGGTGAGTGGAATTGCCCTGACATGAGGTTCTTGGGATTTCCCCGACTCATCCGGAATAGTCGGGTCAGCACTTAATAATAATCTGTCGGCTGAAAAACACTATACCGTCGACAATGGCCCCCGGTATTTATGAGCCTTTTCCAAAATTAATTCCTAATGTTTTTCATACACCAATTAAACTATATTCTAAATAAAATAACAAATTTATTCAATTGATATTAATCAACGAATTCATTAACAATTAGTGCTCCTTCTTTTTCGCCAACTTGATGGCTCATTGTCTGTTGATGAAGACTGATCAACAACAAGTATTTATTTGTGGCGATGATAATGTAAAGAATTCCGCAATCGACACTATGAAAAATCATCATCACTTATTTAGCTGAATGTGCAGTTACATAACAGCATTCTATCGTGTCTCGTTCTATTTGCAGTCCTGTGAGTCTTCCTCGTGAGTCATCAACAGTCCAAAAGGGAAATCATCTTCAAATAGTCCCATGAATCCCCACAATTTTTCGTACCGTTTACAAAGGAGATAAAGATTGAATGAATGGGAGACCCATCTGCACAATTTCTCGCGATAGGTATCGCATACGCGCCAGCCCATGTCGGCCAATTTGAATCTAAGGAGGAGAAAAATGAAGGATGCAATTCAACAATTGTACGGTGAATTTTTATGGGAACCTCAATGAATTGTCTGACATAACTCTTACATTTTTTATAACCACAATACTTATCATTTTACATAAAAATTGGTTTTATAAAATAACGACAACTCTCCTGAGCGCGTCACAATTTTCCTCGATAATTACGTATTATTTTATGTCTAAAGGAAGACATTCTGGTCCAGTTAATTGCGAATTTAATAATCTTCATCTCTGAAAATAATAGAGAAGCGCAAAAAAAAAATGGAAAATTATTGCTCCATCCATAACTTCACTTCTAACAAGTTTTTTTTGTTGTCTAGACAAGACAAAACAAAATAACTTGACCTGCGCAAGCAGTATTCTGGAATTCACCAAAAATCCAACATTCCTTCAGATGGTTTTTTTTTTTTTTTTTAAAAAACAACAATCTCGTGGATACATGAAGTGGATGTGGTTAATTCGGTGAGGTTGATAGTTTTTTTGAATTGGTAAGGTTTGTGAAGTTATGGGCAAAACATAGGGGAGGATTCCTAATGAGACAAGCAATTTCACAGATGTTTCTGGTGTGTGGAATTTGTGATATTGAAGCGGATGTTGAGGAATAAACAGACTACTACTAGGAGCGTCATGACGGAGATAGGTCGCGATGATGGCGATGATGGTCGCGACAGGCGGCAGATACCTGAGGCCCAGGTGGTGGGAGGATGGCTAAACGTCGCCCATCCGCACATAAAACCCAACAAACTACTAGTTCCACCTCAGTTCGCCTTCAACATTCGTTTCCAATAGTTGCCATTCACCAAAACACTTGTTTCATCTTGCCAAACTTCTGCATTCCCTCAAATTAAACAATTGGATTGTGAACAAGTGATTTTTGTGATTAAAATCAGTGACAATTTAAAAAATGCACAAACTAATTGAGATGATTATGGTTCTCGCCCTGACTACTGTCTGGGCAGTTCGAGTAGATAGCTCCGCTATTCCCATGTGGGAATTTCTCTCCAGAGATGAGAAGGTGTGTATAAAAAATCAATGAAATCATTCCTTGTGTACCGAATAGAGAGTCCATTTTAATAAATGCAATAACTCAGAATGAAATGTTCAGTCAGAAAGTTAACCAGGCTCAACAGAGAGTCGCTCGTTGAGCTTTTACAAGTCTGCCTTACTCAACTGTCAAGTTCAAACTGTCAAGCTCTCCTCTCTCATCCAAATAGACCGAAACCAGTCAATATCTCGTATCTCGTCATATGTTTTTATTGTACCATTTTTAAATATCCTCTTGTAAATGATCTTCAATTTCTGTTCACGGTATAGCAAGTTTATGAATTATCTGGGAAAAATTATAAAAACCTACTGTTGACAAATAATCATATAATAATCATGGAAAGCCGTGAATATGTATTATTTAAAGTATTTTTGTTTTGGCATTTACAATGGGTGCAAAAATCAATTGTCACTTTCTCTCAGTTTCCGGGAATATTGAGGACCCAGGAGAACAATGCCCTGTACATTAGCCGCGTCAAAGTGTCACATGAATAAATATATAAATGTAAAAAATCTCTAAAGAGAGAAATGTTAGGATCAATTTATTTATAACAAAATTTGTGGATGTAAGACAAAAATTCTGTTATTTCTCTGACAGAGAAATTACGGAGAAATGAAAATATTTTATTTTATTGCAAGCAATAAAAATGCTGAATGCTATGACAATGTGTCAATGAATTTTCGTAATCGAATACGATTGAGTCTCTATTGTGAAAATAAAGGCTAAAAAGAAAGGAGTAAAACTGTTACGACGCACTGTGCGTGATACGGACTGCAGATCTACTGTACATATGTGACACGCATTTGTAACTGTCTGTTATACATTACTGAGTTTCACCGGACGCCATTTGAATTTACCAATTTGTGAAACATCGCTTGAATCAGAAAGAGTGAAAGATACTTGTAGTTAATGCTACAAGCTACGTTCGCTGAAGAATATATCTAATTTGTAGAAATTTATTTTGTTCAAGATAAGTCATCTCTATCGGTTGTTCAGTAAGCGAGTGATGGATTACTGTCAGAAATCTTCTATGCCTGATTGCAATAAAAATCTTATGGTCATGGGACTTAGACAGCTCGCTAATATGAATGATAATGAAATGGACAGACTGGATCCTTATCAAAGAGATGCTGACGATATGAGTGAGGATTTTTTTTTCTCTCAACTTTTTTTTTCCAATCAACAATTCCTAATAATTTATTTATTCCAGTCTGGAAAGCTGTATTCGGTGACAATCGAGTAACTTCTCACGTACCCCAGGAGAAACAGGACAATTATTACACCACCGACAACGAGCCTCTAGGTAAATATTAATTTGCCAATCTCACTTCGATTCCCGTGACCAAATTCCCTGAAAATCATCAATAACCCACGTACGTACAAGTCACGAACGAGGTCACTTGTCTCAGAGACTCTTTCTATAAGATTTTAGCTTTCACAATTTCACTTTGGCCCAAATCACTCTTCATAAAGCAGTCTGAGGATTGTTGATTGTTGATTCGGTAAGTTGACATTCAACACGTCAAAAATTATGCATTCTGAATTGATAAATGATTTACTATATTATATGGATAAATGTGGTCGCTCAAAATAAAAAAAAAAATAAAGAAAGAGAAAGAAGTGAAGTGATGACTGCCATAGATTAGTGCAATAAACTGGGATTTTCAAAGATGCATGAAAATTCTCAGGGTCGACAAATTATTTTTAGTCTCGCATTGTCATTGACAACTGATTGACCTCGATGGCAGGCAGCTTCCTTGAATGGAACTATTTCCTCTGACTTTTAGACGCTCCCTTGACCGAAATAATGGAAAAGACCTCTTGATAGGTATTTATAAGTGTGGCTTGCCTCTTTTGCATGCAGTTGCGAGTGGAAGTGAGCATAATTGTCTTGGAGAGGATTCTGAGGACAGCGGTGGCCCATACCTGGTGGGGCCGATGGTCATTCGAGTTTTTCCCGACGGACGTCCGGTGCCCGAGGACGAGCACCGACCCTTACCTCGGGACGAGGACCTCGACGAGTTCAAGAACTCCGTGCCATCGCTCGCCGAGAATGAGAGACGCGAGATCTATAAGAAACCCTATGGCTTACTCAAGAGGAACTCACTGGTGAAAAGTGCACAGTGGCCAATCTTTCCCCCTCCCAATAATTATTATCGGGCTAATCCCCTCTTTCGCACACTTCGCATGCCCCAGACCATCAACACGAGCATCTTTCGTTATTCTGAGTAGAATAGAAAGGGACGTGATCATTGAGTTCCGAAGAGATGAGCAAAAATTTCTTGAGGTTCAATATTTTTCTTTGGAAATTTCGCTACATTTATTAAAATTTACCATTTTTCACTATTTATTTCATGAAAAATGCATGGAAAAAATCGCAAATTTGTCAATTTTTAGAACAATTATGCCATTAATTGATATTTTTTCGTCAGATTTGCATTGAGAATGAAAAGTTCATAATTTTTTCCCCTACATAGATTTTAATGACGCTCTCTTGAAAATTACTAGTCATTTGTACATGAAATTTTTCATTATTTTCATCAGTGTATCTTGGAATATGTGAAGGATGTAAAAAAAAAAATCTGCATCTTTTTGTGTGGGCTTTACAGAGGTGCGAAAAAGGTTTTCATGAAATTTTTCCAACTCCTCCGCATTCTTGGATATTTTGCTAATATTAAATTATCATTTAAATTCCCTCATCTTTCACTGACTCTACGATTGACGACTGGTCGGCGACAGAAAATTAATCATATGAAATCACCGGCCATGAAAGAAACCATAATCTCATTGTATTTATTTACCCCCACGTAATTTACATATGAAATGTAGAATAGTCAGATATAATCCACTTGTACATAGCTCATCGCATCATTAGGCATTTGTTTCATCATTTTTATGGAAAATTGTGATATGCCATTGAGCCTTAACTTTTTTGATAATTTTTTCATTAAAAATGCCGGAAAAATAAATGTTAATCATTTTGAAAAACAACTTGGTGCGAAATTGAACGGCCATTACGCCTTACTTTCATTATAAATTTACTAATTATCCAATTGATTGGGTGAATTTTTCTCACGCAATCAATTATTTTGCGTATGTCATATTGATAATACAATGATTGGATGTTTTATTGAATCGTATCCCAACATTGGGAAAATTAAAACGAAATTCTTACTCTTCATTGTCGTGAATCAGCTTCGTATTAGTAGCATTTAACTGATTTTCAACCTTATTGTAAATATTTATTATCTGAGAAAATAAAAATAAAATTATGGATTATACCCTAAAATAGTTGTTTTTATATATTGATTGATTTTACCAGGGACTTTGATTTTTTTTTTAACTATTAAAAAATGAATTATTCCTGCTATTATTATTTCCTCATGAAAAAAAATTAAGCTCAAACAGGAGAGATTGATATTTTTGCCGCTTGTACTCTCTACGTTTGCTAATATATTGCTCTCAGCCGGGACCGGGAACTCAATGACAAAGATGAGTATGTCTTCTAAGTCGCAGACGACAATAGCCAGGCTTTGTCGCAGCGAAGGGTCTGATAGTCGCGAATGAGAAGCCTCAGTAAAACTTACACCTCTCATTATTTTCGCGTTTATTGTTATTATCATTATTATTATTATTATTATTATTAGATTGTAAAAAATACATAAGTAGAATATTTACACAGCAATATTTCTGACGACGTACATAGCTTCGTTATCACAACCGAAGAGCAAAGTAGACCTGTCGATGTCGATGCTGTTGATGGGCTTGTGCATTGGAGAGCATAGGGCCGAGACATTCATCTTCCCATCGATTCCTCTGGTCGTTAACCAGTGGTTGTCGCCTCCATCTAAAATCATTACGTAAATTGATATTTGATATTTTTAATGGATAATAAAGTGCCGTCGTTATCCAGTTGAATAATTACTTAATTTCAATTTCGATCCTTGGATGTCATTCCAATGCCACAATTCTCCATTTATCGAACTGGTGAATAAATTATCAGGCCTATCTGGATGAAACATAACTTCTGCAATAGCTCGAGAGTGTGCGAGCAGTTGGGAAATGGGGTAAGTACTCTGTCGAAGGTCCCAGACGCTCAAACTGCCATCGCCACCACCTGCTGCCACGATATGCCTCTGGGTTGGATGATGGGCGATATCTGTTGCCTCTGTCTGAGATACATGAGGAAATCGTCATTTTTTCACATGAATGTATAATTATCGTTTTTTTACAAAAAAAAAAAAAAAAAATGGTTATGATGATAATGACCTTAAGTTGATCGGGCAGCATGAAAGTGGTGGCTGGTGTATCTCTATCATTTGTCAAGTCCCAGAGTTTCATATGACCCCTGCTGTTACTCGTGAGTATTTCATTGTGTCTCAAAAAATCGATGCACACGAAGGAGCAGCTATCAGCATTCTCAATAGTCCTCACAGGCTTTTTTTCCTGGGCTGTTAGGAGATTTATCCTCCCATCCTCGCCAACAGTCGCAATGTCCTGATTGAAAGTGGCCAGTGCTGTACACGCGGCGCTATCTCCAGTGCTGAACCGATGGATCAACTCCCAGGACATGAGATCTCTGAATTCAGCGTAGGGGGACTCGTTTATCCCCAGCAATTTCACTGAACCCATTGAAGAGGAAGCTACGAAGGCATTTTTGTCTATAAACTAAAATTCGTTACAATTAGCCGACAACAATGATTCTCCGTTCGCATCCTCTGATCAATAAATCAGTGCAGCTTACTTCAATTTCTGTGACGTCCCCATGAAAGGAATAGGTGGAGTCCACCACTGGGTAGGTCTCGTCGTCCTCGGAAGTCTCGAATGTCCAATGGATGATATTGTTGATCTGTTTATATAAGAATCATTGAATGATCATTTAATTGTTAATGACTTGTAGATCATACGGCAACTCTGAGAGAGTGGAAAAAATGTTTCATTTGAAAGACCTTGGTAATTTCATTGGGGTAACTTGAGCGGTGAAGAAAAAGGTCGGAATTTTAAATATTTTGAAGGTTAACTCACGGGGTTGTCCCAACTGCCAGTTATGAACGACTTGGCCTCAGTAAAATTCTCTCTTCGCCACCTTATTTTGGAAATTTTCTCAGAAGTAAATGTACCCTGAATATTTTCCCCCATTTTACAACCGAATATTCAACTAAATTCAATTCAATTCTGATGGATCAACCAGACATTATAAGGGACATGAGCAACACATACGGCAAATTAGAGGCTCAGTTCTGGGTGGTATGAGTGATCCCATCGGCCTCGTAGTACCTCACCCCAAGAGAGAGATGTGCGCCACACGCAATGGGGCTGTCTGCCCGCCAGCCGACTCGGTAACTGCCTCAGTAGCACTGCCACTCTCAGAGGGACCAGTCAACGAGGTGAATGTTATTTTCTGCCTTTCGAAATGCGTTTTTGTTTTTTTTTTATTATAACGCAGAAAGAATATATAATGGCAAATAATAATTATATATATATATGGCCATGTCTTGCTTTCTTATCAAACAATACAAAGTCCTCATATCAGTCATGCAATAACAGCACTTTTATTGGTGTTCTCTTTTCCAAGATATCTGGTTGTATTTCTTGAGCAGTTAAGAACGGATCGTTTGTTCCCACAGACATATCTGTCAAATTACTACTGTACTTACGGAGAAAACTCAATGATGAGTATTACAATAGGAATTTTATGTTTCATCACCTACTCTCATCATCTCGTTAACAGCCAAACTACTCCCAATGGTCCTATGGTGGTAATAACTTGGGATTACCAGGATGCAACGGACCTTGGTAAGATTCAAAATAATAGTGGGCTTCATCGATACAAATGTTTAAAGAAATTTGAAATTCAAATATTTACAATACATTGTAGCCTGGAAAGTTCTCAATGAAGAGAAGAAAAGCTCTATCGATGCTATTGAGGCAGCAGGGAGTCTGTGCGAGGAGATGCAATGCAGGACTACAGTTGGTTATGGTGGAAGTCCTGACGAGGCTGGAGAAACTACTCTGGATGCTATGATAATGGATGGGTAGAGCAAGTTTTTTGAGTGTCTTCTTTTACATTTGTTTGAGAATTGGCTTACGTTAGAACTGTGTTGTTGGGTTTCAGGGTAAATATGGACGTTGGAGCAGTTGGAGGTATAAGGAAAATCAAAAGTGCCATATCAGTTGCAAGGAAAGTACTGGAAAATACAAAACACACTCTATTGTGTGGAGATCAGGCCAAAGAGTTTGCTGTGAAGATGGGATTCAAGGAGGAATCACTGACCACCAATTCTTCGATTGATATGTGGCAGAAATGGAAAGCTAACAATTGTCAACCAAATTTCTGGAAGGTCGGAGGAACGTTTAGCAAGGGTTTTACATTTTTATTGACTCGTTCCTTTCTTTATATAATATTATTAAATAATTGGCAATTTCAGAATGTCTCTCCGGATCCTTCAAAGTCGTGTGGCCCTTACACTCGAAAAGAGCAATCGTGTACATCATATGACACAAGTAACCTCATCTGTGGAGAAGATAATCATGATACCATTGGAATAGTAGCAGTCGACATTAATGGAAGGATCGCTGCAGGGACCTCTACCAATGGGGCCAGGTACAAGATTCCTGGACGCATTGGGGACTCACCCATTCCAGGGTCAGGTGCCTACGCGGATCAACAAGTTGGAGCTGCTGCTGCAACTGGCGATGGCGATATTATGATGCGATTTGTACCGAGGTCTTTATTCTTATTAGTTATTGATTTATTTATTTTTCACTACTGTTGAAAAAAAAAACGTCTATTTTTTTGTGCTAGTTTTCTTGCTGTTGAAGAAATGCGTCGTGGTGCAACCCCAACGGCAGCAGCTGTGAAAGTGATAGCAAGAATTGTCAAACATTACCCAACATTTACTGGTGGAGTCATTGCAATTGATACCAATGGAAAATATGGTGCAGCTTGTAATGGTATACCATCTTTTCCATTTTACGTTGCTAATTTAGCTCTGGGAAAAGCAACCCGTAAGTCTGTTTCTTGTAATAATTTGGTCAAACCTCAACCAGGAGTAACCATTATATAAGTACCTTTTTATTTTTACATATATTTGTTATAATAAATATAATCAGACAACAAATAGTGGTTGATGAAATTTATTATTATATTAATATTTTCTAAAGAGAATCGGCCAATTCGACTAGCCATTTTGAGCTTGCATCAATATGAAAATATATATTACATGATACAATATAATATATATATATATACAATACACAATATTCCGAATTTCCAGTGGTAAGAGTACAATACCAAGCCCTGTTTATCCGCTAAAAATTACTTTTTCTTTTTCACACAATTCCTTTAGTAAAAAAAAAACATCAATTATCATTCTGAAATTAATTATCTGACAGCGGGATTGCTACTGAGGCAGTTACCGAGTCGGCTGACGGGTAGACACCCCCATTGCGTGTGGCGCCCTCCCTCTCCTGGGGTGCAGTACTACGATGCCGCTGGGGTCACTCAAACCCCCCAGAACTGAGTCTCTACTTTAGTCAATCCTCTTTGCTGGGGTGTATGCCCGTCAGTCGACCAGCTCCTCGAGCTTCACATCTCGTACTTCACTCCTCGAGCGTCACACTGTCGGACTAGCTTCCCTCCAGATGAGAACAGCTTCCCCTTACTCTCAGTAGCTCTTTGATTCAGTTAAGATACAGTGAAAAACGTTAAGACATGTTACAATGAACAAAATTTTGGGCCTCGGATTTTTTCTCTTGACTATCGCCGTGCCGGTAGCCTCCTGTAAGTACAGATAATATTTCCTAATAACAATTTATAACAATAACATTTTTTCATGAATCCCTATATATGATGAGTGTTACGAAGTGAGGTCACAGGACCAAGCTCACCACTCAGTGAGTCTTACTATTTTAAACGTAAAATCAAAATTGAATTGTTGTTAATGGGTTAGAAATTGTGCGCTAGAGAAAAAAATTATCTGTGCCATTTAAGGGGGCCAAATCTCCACATTGAGTTTCCATACCAATTCTTGCCTGATAACAATTTGTTTACGCTGATGAATATCATTAACGGATTTCTTTTCAACTTTTGTTTTTCACCTGACATATTTTCTTAGCGGGCAACTTGCTTAGAATGATTTGATTCGATTATATTGAATTAGGAGATTGAACTCCACCGGCTTCTCTGCTACTGCATTTAATGGCAAAACGACGTCATCAATATAGGAAAAATACGAAATTGTTGAGTTTTTTTTTGCGATTGGAGTATATTTCCTTTTTTGATTCATGGCTATATTTTTCACCTACTAAATTTCGCGTGTAAAAAAAAATCTATTACCTCGCATTAAAAAAACGACTTGTCATCCACGCGAATACACTCTTAGAATGAGAAATACGGGCCTCGCATGAGTTATTACATTTTATAGATCACACAGTGTTTCATCGTCATAGTTACCTTGCATGTCTGATAACTATTCAAACATCCCGTATTCTTCATTCGTGATTATTTTTATACTTATTTAGGATATATTTTCAGATGATTATGAATGTAATCAACCACTACTGCAAAAGGCCCAGTTGAAGGCAACGTCCTACATGCCGGATAGAGAACCGAAAGATGCCCGATTGAACGGTGTGTACATGTTTCATAGCCAATGGACTTATTTCAATTCATGAATGTATCTTGCAGTAGAAAGATTACTCGATAGTTTAACTGCTCGCCCTTCGATAAACTAGATAGAGAAACCTATATTGATTTGGCATTCTCATTGTACTTGTGAGAAATGTCAAGCACTGTCGTCAATTCATTCAGCCACGTACAATTGTCCGCTCTAGATGTACAATCATTGACCCACTGACTTGCTCATACAATCAGAGGAGAGAGTGAAAAGTAGCGTGAATGTATACAATTTTTTAACTCAATCGGGAACTAAAAAACGTTTCGCAGAAAACTTACAATTGAAAATTGATTGAACGATATTCAGAGAATGAGTCAGATCATCTGTTTGCTTCAGGTGACTGTTAAGTAATCCCAGGAAGGAAAACATTACCGAGTGATTCTAGGAATTATCAACGACCAATCCCAATCACTCAACTAATAAAATTTATTAAAACAATTAAATATTCTCCTAAGCGTTGTGAAAATTCCATCAGCAGTGTGGATCGTATGATTAAATAGAGTGTATTTAAATTGTCTCGAACTAAATCATTACACTATGCATAACCAAACGCCGTTAGTGAAACGCTCAATTAAATAGATAAAAAAAAAATAATTTGATGATAAAAAGCACGTAGAGTGATTAAGAAAATGACAAAGACAAGTGTGAGATGGGCCTTCAATTGGGGGGAGTGGTCCCCGTCGGACAAAGAGTTGAAACTCGCCATTTCCTGTGTACAATTGGAAGAGAAGGAGAGACTAGGTAAATTTGTCTTCCGGAAGGAATTAAGGGCCTCATTAATTGGTCGCCTCCTCATGCGGAAGTTCATCGCTGACTCCACCAATATACCTTTCGACAAAATCGAGCTGGCGAGAGACGAAATTACAGGAAGACCATTTTTGAAAAATCCAATGACTTCCGTGAGTTTCAACATCTCCCACCAAGGCAATTACACAGTTCTAGCTGGTGAAATGGAAGCTTGTAGAATCGGAGTAGATGTTATGAAGGTAGAATACTCCGGGGGCAAGTCACTCCCCGAATTCTTTCGAATAATGTCCCGAAATTTCTCCCCATCAGAGTGGAAGGAGATCAAGGGAACTATGTCTACCCCAGAATCTAAACAAATAGCCATGTTCTGCCGACACTGGGCTCTTAAAGAATCTTACGTCAAAGCTCTCAGTATTGGATTAACTGTAGATTTAAAGAAATTGGATTTTCAAACTCAATCAGATTTAAATGACAAGGATGTCGTTAGCGACACCATTCTTTATAAAGGAGAAATTAAAGAGAATTGGATTTTTGAAGAAACTTTGATTGACTGCGACCATTGCGTTGCAGTTGCTTTGGAAATGAGAAATGAGATAAATCACGCGAATAATCATTTCGTTAAGTTGAAATTCGAGGATTTGGTCAAGAGTGCTATTCCGCTGCATGCGGAGGATGATGAGTACTGCAAGAATTATTTTAAAAAAAGTGAAAGGCCATAGGCCAGATATAATGCAGACCATTTAATTGATGATTATTCATGGAAGTTAATGTTTAGAATATCTTTGTGATAAATTAGGTGATTGATTTGAAGTTCAAACGATTGTACGCAAGATGGTCAGTGGGCAAATAAAACGGATACTTGTAATGTGAAAAAAATGTAATTAGTGGGCTTCGTTGAAGGGCTTTGATAAAGAACCTCCTTCATTAGCTCCGATCCTCTGGTGCATTTACATATTTGCCCTGTGCTTTTCGTTGAGTGTAGGCTATTGTGTTGATTTATACATTTTTCAAAGGCTCTTTCTAAAAGACATTGATTGATTTTGATATTTTTAAATCTGAAGGGTATATATATTCAGTAGGGAAATAGTAAAAATCACATGCTTCAGCAAATATTGGATATAATATGGGGAGATAAATTTTTTAATTAATCATAAAAATTACAGTGAAAACTTGATACAATTTATTACCCCCAGAGTTACTACTGCTTTTACTACTGAATTCTTCAATACACAAACATTTTTGCCAAAATTTTGACAAACTACTGTGCTACTGAATATCACCACTTCCATATCAAATCTCGAATCAATAATTAAAAAATTCCAAAATGCCAATAAACAATTAAATACAAAAGGATGAGCTATTACATCTGAGTTGCATGCATGAGTAAGTAACATTGTTGTCGCCTAGGCGAGAAAGCATGGACATCGGCCAGCTCTCATAGCTATCAATATCTGATTATCGACCTGGGTCAGTTAATGAACGTCGTAGCTATTGCGACCCAGGGACGTAATAACAACGGAGAATACGTTACGGAGTATTCGATCAACTATGGGACCAATGATCTTGACTATGTCGACGTCAAGGAAGAAGGAGGATACCCCAAGGTAAACTATTGGTATCCAAAGTCCTTTTATTCAATCACCAATTGATTTATCTTATTCGCTGATGAGCACTGATGAGAATTTTAATGAGGATTCACAAGGACTATTGGAGTTATATAATAAATAATGTGGACAACATTTTCACCATCTGTTTTTCCACGATCAACGGGAGCGGGCATGAGTGAATGTATCTCGGGAATTTCTGGGGAATTATATGACTAAAGTATGACTAACAAATTCCATAGCATTGTCACGTGGAATGAGTAGTGCATGATTGTATTTTGCGTATATTCCTGCTTGCATTCCTCTATCCATAGAAATTCGACTTTTATTTATTTTACTTATGAATTTGAAAAGTTGATATGGAGAAATAATGGAGAAATATGGAGGGATGATGAAAAAGTTGGGCGATCTTTTTTTTTTTTTTTTTTCAATTTGGCTCACTCATTAGCTAATTCACCTTATTTTGACCTTTCTTTTCCCTATACTCATTTAAATTATTCAATTTATTCTGATTAGCTGATTATTAACTTGTTAATTTTGGAACAGTATTTTGATTTAATTTCTTTTCCATCTAACCACTCCATACATATAAACTTTTTCATCTCTTCCTCACACTTGGATATTGGGTACTGGGTATTTCTAGGGTATAGTGCTTGGACACCAGAAGATAATTCTTACAATCAGCATCTTACTGTGGACTTGGGGGAGAGATGTGAAATAAGGAGTATTGCAACTCGTGGACGTGCGAGTACAAATGAATTCGTTACTGAATATATTGTAGAATATTCAGACGATGGCAACGCCTGGACTAGTTATGAGAGTCAGGACGGTATTGAAGAGGTACTTGTTGAAATTGGATGCTTTAATTAGCTCGTCAATGTTCATTGGGGAGAAGAAGTAAATTTATCCCCCACACAGGGGATAATAATCAATAATTCAATAAGTCAACCAAGTATTTTTATCGAGTCTATTGAAAATATCTCATTTAAAATTCCAATTTTCATTGATAACAGGCGCATTGAAATCATCACCTACTTAAAGCTATTTACCGCTTGGCTATCGAATTAATATTCCAATATAGTTCATGCAAAATTATTATTATATATACATATATGCACTCATCTGGTTTCATGACTTTCTTACTCAACTATTTATTGTGGTTTCAACTGTGATACGTCTGGAAAATAACAGAATGGGTAGAGTAACAAACAAATAGCAAATAAATAAAACATTCATAAAAAAAAAAAATCTAAAGTGACCCATTAAGCGACCCCAGTATTCTCATTAATTTTTATGGAATTATCATGAGTTAATAATGATATAACAGAAAACAGGTCAGAATGAATGAACATTGTAGTATAATTAATGAATCATTATAAAAAACGAGGAGTTTGATATGTATTTGCTTTTTACAACCAGATGTTCAAAGGAAATACAGATGCTGAATCGATAAAGCTAAACAAATTCGAAGTGCCTATTATAGCCCAATGGATCCGAATAAATCCGACACGGTGGCAGGATAGAATATCTATGCGTGTGGAGCTTTATGGTTGTGAATACAGTAAGTAACAATACCCCTGCATCAATGTCTGTTTTTTTTTTTTTATCTTTTTCTTTCCATCTAACCCATAGTGTTTGGTGATGCACAACTGGTGTTTCATAAGTGTGATAATAAATTTTTCCAATTACCGTAACATTCGCATCTACAGATGCTGATGTAATATCATTTCATGGCACCTCCCTTGTCAGCCTGGACCTCCTACGTGAGCCAATAGAAAGTGATCGTCACTCAATACGTTTTCGCTTCAAGACTAACAATGCCGACGGTGTGCTCCTATACTCACGAGGTAGCCAGGGGGATTTCATAGCAGTTCAATTACGTGACAATAGAATGCTATTGAACATGGATCTAGGCTCAGGACTAACAACAAGCCTCTCCATTGGTAGCCTCCTCGACGACAACATGTGGCACGATGTACTTATTTCGAGGAATAGAAAAAACATAGCATTTTCGGTGGATAGGGTGATAGTGAATGGTCGAATAAAGGGCAAGTTCCATCGATTGGATCTCAATAGAGCCTTCTATATAGGGGGGGTGCCGAATATACAACAAGGACTCGTTGTCACTCAAAATTTCTCAGGCTGCATTGAGAATCTTCACTTGAATAAAACCAATGTATTCAGAGAACTCAAGGATGCCGAGGCAACTGGGGAAAACCTGAAATATCATCGGATTAATACCATCTACAATTGTCCTCAGCCTCAAATCATTCCCGTAACATTCTTAAAACCAAGGACCTATGTCAGAATCAAGGGCTATGAAAGCGCTCTATCCCTTAATGTGTCCCTGGCTTTTAGAACGTACGAGGCCAAAGGAATGCTCCTTTTTCACCAGTTCACTACTCCAGGCTATATAAAAATGTTTCTCGAGGACGGTAAGATTAAAATTGAGATCCAAACAAAAGGCAATCCCATTGCTATTCTCGATAATTTTGAGGAGAGACTTGATGATGGCAAATGGCATCAGGTTATTCTGACTGTTGGGAAGAACAGTATTGTTTTGAATGTTGATAGAAGGCCGATGAGGACAAAGAGGGTCCTGGAGATGAGCACTGGACCGGTTTATTTGATTGGGGGTGGGATTTCGGGGATGGGCCCTAATGTGGGCTTTGTTGGGTGTATGAGACAGATCAGTATCGATGGAAATGTCAAGGCTCCTAGTGACTGGAAGGATGATGATTTTTGCTGCAAGAATGAAATTGTTTTTGATGCCTGTCAAATGCTTGATCGCTGCAATCCCAATCCTTGTAAACATGGAGGGATTTGCAGACAAAATTCCGATGAATTCTTGTGTGATTGCAGTAATACCGGCTATGCTGGAGCTGTCTGCCATACGTGTGAGTAAGACAATCATCATAATTTATATATTCAGGGCTTTGATTTTTATATTTTAACGGCATTTTTTTAGCTCTACATCCTCTCTCATGTGAGGCATACAGAAACACTAATACCGTTGATCAGAAAGCAGCAATAAAAATAGATGTTGATGGTAGTGGACCATTGGAGCCATTTCCAGTTACCTGCGAATTCCATCCGGACGGCCGAGTAATGACTTTAATTCGACACAGCAATGAATTACCAACGCCAGTTGATGGCTTCGAGGAGCCTGGTAGTTTCGTTCAAGATATCAATTATGACGCCGATCTTGATCAAATTGAAGCTGTCCTCAACAGGTCCAGTAGTTGTAGACAATGGATCAATTACTCTTGCAAACATTCAAAACTTTTTAACAGTCCAGGTAAAGAATATTGCAAAAAAAAAACAACAACAACAACAACAACAACAACAAAAAATAAAATACAATCCTATTGTTGTCTAGATTTTGTTGTGCCATTATTATATAATCCCCATTCTGACATTATTGAAATCAGTTCCTCAGATGTCCTCATTTGAGCCCAGTTCCTGGTGGGTCAGTAGAAACAATCAAAAAATGGATTACTGGGGTGGCGCACTGCCAGGTTCACGGAAATGTGAATGCGGCGTGCTGGGAAATTGCGCTGATCCGACAAAATGGTGTAATTGTGATTCTGGATTAGAGGGGTGGCTTGAGGATGGCGGCGATATCACGGAAAAAGAATATCTTCCTGTACGACAATTACGACTTGGCGATACTGGTACACCATTGGACGAGAAAGAGGGTCAATATACTCTTGGCCCCCTTATTTGTGAAGGAGATGGTAAGAATAACGTTTTTCTTGTTCTATTCATCCTATTTACGCTTCATCATTTGCACGGCATGCCCTATTTTTACATTCTTTCTTATCAACGTTATGAGCGACCGAATTACCTTGGGAATATCTGGGTAGAAGAAGGACCTCTGAAATTCCAAGGGCTCGAACTATTTTAGGTATAAAAAAAATTAGGTGAAATTATTCAATCGAGAGCCTTTTTTTTTCACCACACACAACATGCAAATTAAATAAAAATTTAGTGAATTAATTGATGTTGGACATTTTAATTTGCAGACTTATTCAAAAACGTCGTGACATTTCGCATATCCGACGCAACGATAAATCTGCCTACCTTCGATATGGGACACAGTGGAGATATTTACTTTGAATTTAAAACAACGATATCCGACGCTGTGATAATTCATAGTACAGGCCCCACTGACAGCATTAAGATATCCATCACCAATGGAAATCAGATACAATTCCAATATCAGGCAGGTGATGGACCATTGACTGTGAGTGTACAGACATCCTCGATGCTGGCAGACAACAACTGGCATTCAGTATCTGTAGAGAGGAATCGTAAGGAGGCAAGGATTGTCCTGGACGGGGCTATCAAGAACGAGATCAGGGAACCTCCAGGCCCAGTTCGTGCTCTACATCTAACGTCTGACTTGGTTCTCGGTGCGACGACTAAATACCGAGATGGATTCGTTGGATGCATCAGAGCATTACTGTTAAATGGTAAACTCCAAGATTTAAGGAGACCTGGAAGACTTCCAACTTATGGGATAAGTGAGGGCTGCATCGGAAGATGTGAGAGTAATCCATGTCTCAATAATGGCACCTGTTACGAGAGGTATGATGGTTATAGCTGTGATTGCCGATGGACTTCATTTAAAGGACCTATTTGTGCGGATGAAATCGGCGTTAACCTCCGTCCCGACTCTATGATAAAATATGATTTTATGGGCACTTGGCGTTCCACAATATCGGAAAAAATTCGAATAGGTTTTACAACGACAAATCCACATGGTTTTCTCCTAGGTCTCTTTTCAAACATCTCCGGTGAATATATGACTATAATGATCTCTCGCAGTGGATACTTGCGAGTGGTCTTCGACTTTGGTTTTGAACGCCAAGAGGTACTATTCCCATCAAAAAACTTTGGCCTAGGACAATACCACGATCTGCGAGTCAGTAGAAAAAATGGTGGAGCAACGATGGTCCTTCAGGTTGACAATTACGAGCCCAAAGAATTTGATTTCGATATAAAGGCATCAGCCGACGCTCAGTTCAATAATATTCAGTATATGTACATTGGAAAAAATGAGTCCATGAGTGAGGGCTTTGGGGGTTGCATTTCACGAGTAGAATTCGACGACATTTACCCTCTAAAGCTGCTGTTTCAACAGGATGGACCTACCAACATTAGGTCATTTGGAGGATCAGTCAACGAAGATTTTTGTGGTGTTGAGCCCATCACTCATCCTCCCAATATCGTGGAAACTCGGCCCCCACCGGTTGTCGATGAAGAGAAAGTACGTGCTGCCTACAATGAGACTGACACTGCTATTCTGGGAAGTGTCCTGTCAGTCATAATTATTGCTCTCATTATTATGACTATTTTAATTGGTCGGTACATGTCCAGACACAAAGGAGAGTACCTGACACAGGAGGATAAAGGGGCTGAAATGGCTCTTGATCCTGACTCTGCTGTTGTTCATTCCACAACTGGGCATCAAGTGCAAAAGAAGAAAGAATGGTTCATCTGAGATTTCTCAGAGACTTGTCTGAATAGAGATTAGGTTTTTTTTTTTTTTTTTTGGTTAGAGGAAAAAATGCAACAATTTTGAAGTGAAACTTATTTGGCGGGGATAGTAAAAGTACATAAGGTGAAAAAATAGTAGTTGTTTTCAATTGAGGCAATCACTAATGTATCAATTTTTTGTTGTATTTTTTTCTGAAAGAAAGAGACTTGCACGGTGTAGAGTAATATACTCCATGATTTGGTGACTAATTAGAACCAAAGTTTTATCATTAGCTCAATGTGAATTCCATAATTTTATTTTCACAAAAATCATTCAGTGATGTGATAAATTGCACAATTTCAATTAGATCCTAGAAATGAATTTATTGCGATTTATCACTCCACTAATGAAATTATTTGATGAACTAATTAATATACTCATAGTTGTAAAATTTCCGGACTCAATTTTTTTTTTTATTTTATCATTGTTTGATAAGACTGGTGTGAGTAGAATTAGTAGGAGCAAGAAATTTAAAATAAATATGCATGAATTTGTTATTTTTAAGTAAAAGTAAACGCCGAAATGCCATAGAAAATACTTCAACGATGACAATGTAATGGTGCACCTTAACGGTGAGAGGATAATCTCTATTTTTCAGTTTCATTATTTCATATGTTGCAAATGAGTGCTAGACTGTTATTTTTTATTTTTTTTTTAATTTAATTTTCTCAGTATTGTAATTTTCACCGTCCAACAAAATTCTTTCAATCTCTTATTTAAATTAAATTTACTTTTTAATTCATTATATATTTTTATTTTTATTTGTCATAGGAATTTTCCACTCAAATATAACTCAGTAATAATGAATATTGAAATTATCAAATGAAATTATTAATGCAGAAGAAACTATGCAAATGAATTGTATATAAACAATATTTATAATTATTTATAATGATACAAAAAAAATGTAATAAACCAGTAATTTTGTACTGCAAGACGCCTTTCACATGTTCCACGTTTTCCGATCTTTGACAAATCTGGATTTCACGGAAATGAAATAATCAACGAGTAATCATGCAATTAAATGCATCACCGGACAACCAACTTCCCTACAATGATATATGATATCTTCGAGTCTGCGATTGAAAAAAAATATATCAAAATAAATAATGATGGTTTTACATCAGTACAGTAAAATTTCCGGTCAATTCAAGATTATTGTCTACTTTTTATTCTAACCAAGCAAAGAATAAGAAATTATATTTAATTCGACCCATAAGTTTCGAGACATTTTGTAAAATTAAAAAAAAAAATTTACATTACTCTAGACTAGATTGAAGTGCTGCTGAAAAATATATGACCCATAAAATATCCCTGGTGTCTCTTATAAAATCATGATCCCAGTACAAAAAATACATCATACGAAATTGTTGCCACAGCTCTTCAAGCCCTTGTACCTCTCGAACTTTTGTCCATATGAAAATCTTGTTGAAATTGTAAAAGAAATCTCCCCGGTACAAGATAATGATGAAATAAGTATAATGAAAAAATTAAATGGCACCCGAGAAATAATGATTATTTAAAAAAAATATTAAACCTAACTATCTAGCCCGCATCCTCGATACTGCTGCATGTGTCTGGAGTTTAATCCTCCTTATGGCCATTGGTCTGGAGTCCATTGCTGTTGGTTTTGGATTTTGCGTATGTATTGGCCATTACATGAGCGAGTATCTCATCATCCGAGTCATTATCACTCATCTGTCTAGGAGAGAGTCTGCACCCTCTAGCAAGATAAGACTTGAGTTTACCAACACTAGCCAGGATGAATCCCAGGAATGGAGGAGAAGGTTTGAGAGGCCTGGAGAGATACTCAGGATGATACTGTGTAGCAACGTAGTAGGGATGCCCTTCTAGCTCGATGATTTCCATCCTCTGACCCTCGTCATCGTGACCGACAAATTTGAGTCCCGCAGCTTCAAAATCATTAACGTACTGAGGATTGACCTCGTACCTGTGTCGATGCCTCTCCTCAATGCCATCGACATTTCCATAAAGCCTCTTAACAACACACGTATCAGACTTAAAGCTGGTTGTCCTCTTACCCAGCCTCATGGTGCCACCCATCTCCCCAGAGTTGTGCTCAGGCATATCGATCACCACTGGATGATTTGTCTTGGGATTGATTTCCGTGCTGTTTGCATCGGCCAAGGCGAGAACATTGCGGGCAAACTCGATAACTGCCACCTGTAGACCTAAGCAAATTCCCAACATGGGCTTTTTATTTGTTCTGCACCACTTGCAGGCTTCGATTTTTCCCTCGATGCCTCTCTTGCCGAAGCCCCCAGGGACGATCACTCCATCACTCTTGCAGAGCTTCTGCCAGGCCTCGTGATACAACACTGGGTCCTCTTGCTTTGTCTGTGGCTCTAAGCTGGCAGCTTCGATGTACGTCAATTGAAGCTTATAACCAACTTCTATCGAGGCGTGCTGCAGGGCCTTCGTTACCGAGGCGTATGCATCCTCCAATTTTGTGTATTTTCCAACTAGGGAAATATTCACCTCCTTACGCAGGTGGTCTATACGGTCTGCCAAATCGCGCCATTTTCGCATGAAGTGACGGGGACGGGGACTCCCGATATTCAATTGGAGTCGGTCGTTCAAAAACTCAATGACTCCCTGACTCTCCATTAGGATGGGTACACGATATATCGATGATAAATCATGAATTGTTATCACTTGCTCTGGGGCAACATGACAGAAATTTGAAATTTTCTCTTTGACTGCCTCGCCAATTGGATTCTCAGAGCGACAAACAATGAGATCAGGGGTGAGACCGAGTCCTCGAAGCTCACGAACACTTGCTTGTGTCGGCTTTGTCTTTGGCTCTCCAGACGAACGAGGCTGGGGCACTAAAGACACATGAGCAACGCAGAAATTCTCTTTCTGAACCCTGAATTGAAATTGGCGAAAAGCCTCGACGAAGGGCATTCCCTCAATGTCACCAATCGTACCGCCAAGTTCAACCACGCAAACCATGGGTTTGTCCCCATCTTCAGTTACTGGCCTGTTAGATACTTTTTCGACCCATTCTTGAATGGCATCAGTGATGTGCGGCACAACTTGAACAGTCTTTCCTAAATAATCCCCTCGCCTCTCTTTTGTTATAATGTGTTGATAGATCTTCCCAGTAGTAATATTATTATCTCTGTGTAGTGTTACATCTAAAAAACGCTCGTAGTTACCAAGGTCGAGATCAACTTCACCTCCATCATCAAGAACATAAACTTCACCTGTAATTGAAATTACAATAAAATTTTTAATTATTCACAAATTATTCAATAGATATAAGTGACTGTTGCAATAATATTAAAAAATTGGAAAATAAAATTGTTTGAGGTGGAATATTTGAGTTGGATTAACCCACGCGGGAAAAAAACGGCGCGCATCGCGCGCATCAATAAAGTACAAAATGGCCGAGAGCGAAAGAATGCCGCGTGCTCACCAGATTCTCACATTTCCCGACCAAATATTGAATGACAAATGCGCAGAATCCCACCCCAAAATCTTTCATAAGAATTTCAATTGAAATCATTCTGAGAATTACCATGTCTTACCATGTTCATAAGGTGAAAAAGTACCAGCATCTATATTTATATAGGGATCGATTTTAATTGAAGTAACGTGTATCCCACAATTTTTAAGAATAGTACCGAACGAACTGGCAATAACACCTTTTCCAACCCCACTGATTACACCCCCTGTGACAAGAATGTACTTCATATTGAATGATTGATTAACTTCGAATGAAAAAGCAATTTTTTTGCGATGAAGAGAATGAATATTGAAATGATTTTAACAAGTGCCAGACTCTTGACAGACTGGATCGACTAGGTGGAATACCGGAGTCTAAATCCCTTCAATGTCGCCTCCCATTGGTCAAACCACGTTGTGACGTACATGTGACGTCACTTCTCACATTTAACCTTGAGAATATCGCAAAAGTCAGTTTCTTCGATACATAGTTGGCAAGAATTAAAAATTGCGCACATTTACACTCAAGAAAATGGAGCTATCGTTCCGACCTGTGAGTCTTTTAAATTTGCCTACGATGCGAATATTTGTGAACAAATACATCCACTTCGTTACAGTAACGAATTAGTGCAAGCTATCTTTTCCACATTCACTCTTTTTTTTTAGATAAGAAAATTTGACAGAGCCTGCATAATATTTACTTTATCGTGAAAAAAGAGGGGTGCGTCGTATGGGATATTCATAACGATTTCCAAACCTTACCCCACTATCACATGCCAAATTGATGGAATTTCATAGTAAAGCGGGCGTGCCTCATCAAAGTATTCTAGTATAAGAGGCATTCATATATCCCAAACCCGCTCAAAAAATATCAAATAATCTTTTGGCAAAAATGCCAAGAAGAAAATACTTGTTTGAAAGGAGCATTTACATGGAAGTGACGCGTGTAGTCCACGTGGGGTGGGGTCGTGGATGATGGTTGGAACTGTCGCGACTCGCAACCATACAGGCGGCCCGCACCCGGACCCGGACCCGGACCCAGACCCAGTGTACTATGTATTCAGCAGTGCTGTATCCTCCATCAAAGCAACGCATCATCCACAATATTAATTCCGACTTATTCGACGGCTACCGCTTGGAGGTATTCACCCCTCGACACTGGAACATGATAAGGTGAAATGACGAATGATGTGAAGGAATTGGGCCTTGAGCGGGTCTCGGAGGTGTGCGACTGTTTTTTTTTTTGCTATCGATAACTAAACTAAACAGTATCGGGCGCAGAGAAGGGTAGAGGGTGATGAGAAGAGTGTGGCAAACGTTGCGATCGTAGAGAAGCCAAGAGACGAACATAAACGATAAACAGTCGAGGCTAGCCGAGTTGGAGCGAGTATAACCGAGGTATGTACTAGCGCCGTATAGTATCCCGACACGCCGCAGGCCGCACTCCGGACACCGCACTCCGTAGTCCATAGTCGTCTGGCAACTCGTGTTACCAATGGAAAGTCTAGATGTCGAAGATGCGTGATAGGTGAAAAACTCTGAAGCAGCAATGAATGCTTGACCATTCCTCACCACACGGGGCAATCACATGCCCTCAGTGTTATTATCTCGAAAAAGTGTTATTCTTTGACAAAGTTAAGTGGCAACTGTGAAATGTGTGTCCTCGGGGTGCAGAAGGTGGCTGAAAAGTGGCGAGAACATAAGTGAAAACTCCAGTCCATTTATTTCCTTTGATTGTCCATTTGTTTTGGATTATCTACGGTAAATAAGTGAAATATTTGGCATCGTCATCGCTCTAGTCGTTCGATACTGTTTGTCACGGCTGCGTATGGTACACAACACGTACCACATACGTATTCCCGTTTAAACTCGATAATGAAGCTTTAGGCTGTGTATCGATACACATTTGGTATACGCGTTCGTCTCTCTCTGGCTGAACGAGAGGAAAGAGGCAATTCGAGGTAGTCTGAGGCAATTGAGAGAGGCGCAAGATGGCTGGGAATTGTTGAGAGATACCAGGCGGAAAGTGGGGCCGGACGTTGGTGGATAGAGGGAAAAAAGAAAAAAAGATTTTTTCAATAAAAAAGGGGGACAGGAGGATACAATAATAAGGAAAGAGGCCAAACGTCGGATCAAGAGATCTGAAATCACAGTGGCCTGATAGATCACGGCAAACGTGAAACAAGAACATGACGCAAATATATCGACTGTAACTGGATATCAAGGGCGGGGAGGAGGAAGTTTTATCTTGAAAATTATTTTTTCCACTGAAATAAACGACGAGACACTGGTCGAGGAGTGAAAGGTAGGCCTTTTTTTCATTAAAAAAATTCTTTTTCTTCCTTTTTTTTCGCGATTACTGAAACAATATGCGCATTCAGTGGTTGCGTGACTGCCCGCATGAGGTTCGAGACTGTGAACGGTTCAACGGTTCGAGGAGACAAGGTGGGGGATTAGGCAGATGTTCGGGAAGGGGTTATTTTTATCTGATATTTTTATTTGGTTGTGTTGGGGGCGTCCAAAGGGAGAAGACTATCGGTAGGGTGGAGGTTTTTTTGCAAGTAGATTGTTGTGAAGTGAAGTGACAACTATGATAAAAATTGATCTGGATACATTTTGTTGTCTCTAGATTCGAATGAATTAGTTTTTTTTTTTTTTACATCACTCCGGGTTTCAATTGGTTTTCTATCCTGGGAAAGCAGTGAAAGTGTTATTTGTAAAACGAAGTGATCCACAAATATTTGAGGAATATCCAAGTTGAATTTTTTTTTTATCACGATTGGTCACGATTGGATCAAACTCATGCAATACAAGATTGGATGGAACAAATTGTTGTAATAAAACTTTGTTTTCGGTGACACTAGAATACATTCGTCGCAGTGAAAGAAATTTAATTGAATCGGAGTGAATCATTGTACTGAAATCCACTGACATAAATATGTCAGGATCTCCCTCAGATTTTAGAGAATCTCACCGAAAAAACTCTTGATAATATGACTAATTACATCTCTTATTTATATTATCTCGAGAACGAGCAACTCCACAAGCAAATGTTGAAAGTTGGTTCACAAATCTCTTTTGACCATCGGCATAACTCTTGAATGATTCTAATCGTCAAGTTTAAAAAAATGAAGAAGAAAATTTAAACACCACTCTCACTCCAAATCTATATATATTTATGAAAAAATTCATCCTTTGACTAAATCGACTCATTCTTTTCCACGTCGTTACTCAATCATTAATTAAAATCGATTATCTGAATTACAAATAATCCTCTGGAAAATAAAATTGGACTTGCTGTAGAAGAGCCTCTCGTGACTTGAGTAATTCTACTTTCTATCGTCTATCCCACTGCTCCACAATCTTTCCAGATTTTCCATTGTAGATGTTAAAATTTGATTTATTAAAGTCAAGTATTCACCAGAGTTAAAACTGTTTGCAGAACAAGTTTTGTAGGGCAGTCATGACGTATTTTTAGATACGAAAGAACGTCATACCCTGGCAAATAATTCTCAGTGTGATAAACGGAGGGTATTAATTGTCCCTCAACTCCACGATAATGTTAAAATCACAGATTCATCGATATTGTATTGTTGCTGGTGTTGAGCGTCAATGCGTTAATGGTGTCACAAAATATTTTCCCTGACGTTTCCGTGTGATGATGATTGTATTAAATTTTAACAGTATTTAGATAATTATTCATCTCTTTATCTGTTTGCGAGCTAGTTGGATATTTAACTGACAATTTTATTATGTTTATCTAGCATCAACTGAAATAACTGACGAGAATATTTGGAAACAGTTATGAAAGTTTATTTTCGAAAGATGCAGAATGAGAAATAATGGAGAATTATTCGGACTGCTTAGTGAGGATAATAGTACAGTAAATAAGCTTGGATTGTCATTAGCCTCGGTTTGAGTGCAAAAACAGCTTTCATTTTTCGTTCCCGGAGGATTATTCGAGGCATATTCGAGATTTATCATTTATTTCCTTGGAATCTGGGAAATAATAGCCTTCTTCTAGCATTATAGTTGGCGTATTAATAAAGACGTCAGCCGTAGAAATAGAAAAATAAGAGTAATTAATCGATTTCATTTACTACAGGTACTCTTTCCCAACAATAATGACTTCAATCTTCCCGACATCATGATCATTTCCACGTATTTCCTCCATTCATCGTGTTTTCGTGGCGTGTTCTCGTACCTCGGTTTTCTATTTTTAAATCGTTCCCATCCAACTTTCTACATTTCAAAGCACGTTGGATTATCATTAGAAATGTGATAAAAAAATGATATAATCCTGGGCAATTTGTTGACTTGTAGTTGTGAAACTGTTCCATCAATCTCTATGCAGTATGAAACATATTTGAATTTTCCACATTTATTATTAAGCAATGTTGAGAAACTTTTTCAACAACGGGCTTCAACTTCTTTGTTACAAATAAGAAAACATTTCGCGTTAGAGTGTCGGAATTAATTCCTTTCCTCTCTACCTTCCACAAAGAAAGTTTTCGAAAATCAGAAATAGTTTGAATTATAAGTTAATGCATCTCTCAACTTGCCGAAATTCGTGGCTTTCTACACAACTGGCATTTATTTCAATAATAATATAATAAAAAAAAAAAAGAAAGGCCACAAAAGATCATTTTGCCTTCGTACTTATATTCACATCTCTTGGTTTGAACATGATAAAGGTATATGTATATGTACATGTGGCCAAGAGGGCCAAGAGGTTCGGCAAGTGAGAGCAGCTGCGACCCATTTCCTAACCTCACCGGCATCACTACACCGCTGCCATTCGCTTTTGCAAGTGGACAAAAGAGAGGTATACATACCCTCAGAGAGCATAGATATATCATTCCATTAGCCTGTCTAGTCGCGGTTGCTCGGTGAGAGTCGACAACGGCTACAACGGCTACAACGGCTACAACGGCTACAACGGCTACGACAACACCAACTAACCAACCAATCAACTAAACAACCAACCAACGAAACAACCAAACAACCAAACAACCAAACAACCAAACAACCGACCAACCAATCAACCAACCAACCAACCTTTCCAAACAAGCCCACAAAGCAGTCGTTGGTGTATATGTACCTATTTCACTCATTCCATCAATACCTTCATTATGTTTATTTTCTGCATAGTTGCCACATTTTTCAAAACTCTCATCTCAAGTATATTTCTGAGGAATTTGCGAATAATCTGAATAAAATTTCTCTGAATCATCGAGAGCTTCTAGTCATCCTGACATAGACCATTGGAATTTCAAGTAGAGGCTTTGCCGTTGAGTTATTTTCGCTGATTCTTTACTTTTCATAGCACTTGGTGTGTATCAAAACATGAAAGCCATAGAAGCTCCGAGCCAATGGAGGAATTTCTCATTCTCGATCATTGACGTCATGAAATGGTAGAAAAATTTCACTGCTGGATCGTATGGTAGAGTAGTATGGTAGTTGCCGTACCTGCAACTCGAATATCCTTTAGAATGATGTACGATTGTACGGTGTTATGGACAATACGAACTTGTAGGGGTGAGGGATTAAAGCATGACTAAAAAAATCAGTTCTTTCAAAATTTTTCATTTTATATTTTAAAAACTATCCACCGTACGTTGTATTCCCTTTCCATCATCAATATAATCGGCCAATTGACGAAGTATAGTATTTTTCACACCCATCCTAACACATTACACCCCTTCACTACTTCACAGTCACACTGAATTGTTTATAGGTATAATGGAAAATCACGGAGTAATACGATGTATTTGCCAGAACCTCATGATTCACACCCGGTTAAACCCGGGGAGTATATTGATCCACACGTACCAACTACGTATCAAAATACTTGCTCAGTTAGAAACTTGGATTTTGTTTGCAAAATAATTTCATATAATTTACAAAGTTGATAATAATTTGGTGAATTAGGCTGTCTACGTTAGACGAAATAAAATTTAGCGTGCTAAAACGAAAGGGCCATGTATTCAATTTCTTGAATAGTTTCAAACAATCATTTATTGATGTTATTGAGCGGAGTTATTTCTAAGTAGATCGCAACGTAGGAGCATCAACGTAGTGATAATCCTAGTTGGCGGGACACATGTACATATTAAAGTGAATGGCGGCAATTAACGTAGGCAATACCCGCAGACCCAATAGGTTCAATTGATGTTGAGGGAAATGATAAGTGATGCGTCTCACTATTCACAATTATTCGAGAATTTTCGTCAGTAGCTGTGACAAACTCAGTAAGGAGAGGAAGATTTCCAACTGGTCTCTTCACTCACATTTTCGTGGCGATTGCATATTTCATCAATGTTTTATGTGTGACGTTATGTGATTCAACAGATTCATTTCTAAGATAGAAATTGTAAACAACATGGTGAACTGATAAAAAAAAAACATAAATGTTGAATATATGGTGTTGCAGGGAATGTGTGACATGTTTATCCAAACTCAGCAAACGAGCAGCGTCAACAGCAGCAGCAGCAGTAGCAGCAGCAGCAGCAGTAACAATACCGCTCATCATCACAGTAAAAAACGTAAATTGGATTACAACGTTTGTCAACCAGTAATCCAACACTCATTGGTGCAATCGAGTGGCGATTACCAATTGGATAATACTGGACTACAGCATTACTCTGTGACTGGTACTAACGCCGGATTCGGCACGCTGCAGAATAATGCGCTGCAGAAGAGTCCGAATCAACAGACCCTGGTGCGTGCATCTACTATCAAACTTTTAGACACGTATCAACGTTGTGGACAAAAGGTAAATCTCTTCTCTTCTCTTCTCTCAAATATTCTTGCACAGTAAAAATATTTAGGAGAGTGGAGTATCGATGAGATAACTTCAATTTAATCATAATAACAATTCCATAAATTCTATTTGGAAAGTGATAAATAATTGGTGGAATTTTTTGCATGATCGTTTACGTGTACGATAACACTTCTTCGTGGCGTCACGTTGACTATCGATTACACTCAAGGCTTCGTTTTCATATTTCATGCCAGACACACGGTGATACCGTTTCTTTCGATGGTGGTCTCATCGATAACCACCGATTCTGAACGTAGAGACATCGTCTCAACGAAATTTTGACAGATTTATTTATTAAATTGACGTCTTATACACTCATCATTTCTTGGATTATACTATCGTTGAAAATATCTATCAATTCTTTTACATGTATCTCGCGGATTGAATGGAGAAACCATTCTTATTCAATGGTTTGTCTCTTTTGCAGAGAAAAACCTGGTCGAGAGACGGTAATGAGGCCCTGACAGCGCAACCGTCAAATCTGACAAACGGTGTTGGCAGTACAGTTGTCCCACCAATCCACTCCCAACATCAGCAACAGCAACAGCCACAGCAACAGCCACAGTTTCACCAACAAACACAACAACCGCCTCAGCAGCCACAACAACAACACAAACAGACAAACATGACGTCACACAGTAAACAAGTTGCTAATACGGGTAACGGTGGTGGCAGTAACCCCCAAGGTGATGGAGATTATCAACTGGTCCAGCACGAGGTCCTGTACTCTATGACCAATCAGTACGAAGTTCTTGAGTTTCTCGGGAGAGGGACATTTGGACAAGTGAGTTATTGGAAAATTTTTTATTCGCGAATGCTTTTTTTTTTTATTTTACTCTCTCATTGATCGGAGCTATTCTAGAACTTTTTACATACTATAATAATAAAGATATATATATATATATATTCTTATATGAAGACCTTGACCATATTCTGTATGAGCTTGGAGAATCGTTGATGACTATTAGTCGATGCGATTTCAATCGAGAATAAAAGGCATTTTTTTTTAATTTCTTTGTTTGACTTTTTTAGTAGGTAAAAATTAATGTGTGTTACTACTCCCAGTTGATGAGCTATCTTGTCTTCAATTGAGTTGTTAATGAGCTAGAAATATTTCCTTCAAGTATGAATTTCATAGAATTGAAACTATAATGAGTGATTTGCTTCATTAATTCCACTGATGATGGCCTCGTTGAGAATTAATGTTTGTTGGTTTTTTTCTTTTTCCTTTTCTTTTTCTTTCTCTTTTTCTTTTTCTTTTTCTTTTTCTTTTTCTTTTTCTTTTTTATACCACTGACTGATTCTATTAAAAAGTGTAAAAAATCATGAATTATCAATCTTTGAATGGCTGATTAATTGTGTGCTCAGGTAGTGAAGTGTTGGAAGAAGGGTACCAACGAAATCGTCGCCATAAAAATTCTGAAGAACCATCCATCGTACGCGCGCCAAGGTCAAATTGAGGTAAAATATATCATTTATATCAAGTAATGAAGATTTTACGATGTGTCCACCGCCTGGAACGCCTGCATTTGAATTAAACTGGTCATAATTTGCATCAATAGGTCTCCATCCTGTCACGACTGAGCCAGGAAAATGCTGATGAGTTCAATTTTGTGCGTGCTTACGAGTGCTTCCAGCACAAATCCCATACCTGTTTGGTCTTTGAGATGCTGGAGCAAAACCTCTATGACTTTCTAAAACAGAATAAATTTTCACCCCTGCCACTTAAGTACATTAGACCCATTCTTCAACAAGTACTTACGGCGCTTCTCAAGTTAAAGGTAGGAGTGATAATAAATTTGGCAAGTGCACAATGCTGAGAGAAGAAATGTGAGAAATTCTGTAGCATCATCCTCGTCAACTTTCTTTTGTAGAGATAATCTTTTTCAATTTTTTATTCACGTTTCGTAGGAAAAACACCTGACTAGATTTTAATGTGCTTTTTAATATTAATTAATCAGAGATGTTCGTGTGAAGAAAGATGCTTACAGGATTATTGTATTGTTAATCTTGTCCACTATTTTATTATGTCCAACCGAAATCATGTGACTCCCTGACAAAACTTTGAAATTTCAGCAACTGGGCTTAATTCACGCAGACTTGAAACCAGAGAATATAATGTTGGTAGATCCAGTGCGTCAGCCCTACCGTGTCAAAGTCATTGACTTTGGTTCTGCCTCGCACGTATCAAAAGCTGTATGCAATACTTATCTCCAGTCGCGATACTATCGTGCACCGGAAATCATTCTGGGTTTACCATTCTGTGAAGCTATAGACATGTGGTCCCTCGGTTGCGTTGTTGCTGAACTATTTCTCGGCTGGCCCCTCTACCCTGGTAGCTCCGAGTACGATCAAATACGATATATTAGTCAAACACAGGGACTACCAACTGAACATATGCTCAATAATGCCAGCAAAACGACTAAATTTTTCTATCGTGACATGGACAGTACATATCCATTTTGGCGATTAAAAACACCGGAGGAGCATGAGGCTGAGACTGGTATCAAATCCAAGGAGGCGAGAAAATATATATTTAATTGTCTCGATGATATTGGCCAAGTCAATGTACCAACCGACTTGGAGGGGGGACAACTGCTTGCTGAGAAGGCAGATAGGCGGGAGTTCATTGATCTTCTCAAAAGGATGCTAACCATGGACCAGGTAGTAATATCTAATTCATGATGTGCAATGATGTTCCACTTAAATTTATTTAAATTTATCTAGTTAATTTTAGCACAAAAAATTTAATTTCAAAAACCCAATTTCAATGGATAGTTGAAACCCACTGAAAACGCCAAAACAATTTTCAGCAAGCCTAATCTTTGAATTTTCATATCCTCTAGGAACGTCGTATAACACCTGGTGAAGCCCTGAATCATGCATTCGTCACTTTGGCCCACCTAGTCGACTACGCTCATTGTAACAATGTTAAGGCGTCAGTTCAAATGATGGAAGTCTGCCGAAGGGCTGGCGATTTCACAGCGAGTCCAACACACCATCAGGCACCCCCAGCTCCACAACCACCACCACCTACCTCCCTCGTTGCCAATTTCGTACCAACGACCAACGGCAGTGCTGTTACTCTGACCTTCAATAATCAAGTCCAGAGACTAGTGAGGGAGCACCGAACAGCCCAATCGGGATACGGAGATTTGTATCAAATATACAGTAATAGTACGAGGCGGGCGACACAGTACAGTGGTTCATCGAGTGGATCCAATGGTGGTAGAGGTGGTGTTCACGATTTTCCTCATCAACTCGTACCAGGAATACTCTGTCCACCGCCCGGATATCAGACTATGCCAAGTCCAACAAAACATGTGGTTGTTGCACAGCCTCCACAGCCACAACAGGCACCACTGCAAATTCAACCGTCGATTATATCACAGCAGGCGGTCGCCGCTGCTGCTGCTGCTGCTGCTGCTCAACAACAGTATGCTGCAGTGCCAGTTTCCATGGTCGAAACGGGTAGGCAAATGCTTCTTACCAATGCTGTACAGACCTCATGGCCTGGGGGCAGTCGACAAATGGCTGCCATTGTTCCTAGCTGGCAACAACTTCCTCCTCAACATGCTGCTATTCAACAGCCACTTCTCAGTGATGCTGGCGACTGGGGGCGACCCCTCATTGTCGACAGCTCGGCCATCATACAGGTAATGTTACTTATTTTTATTAATTTTCAACTATCTCAGTTATTTATTTATAAAACTTGCATCAATGCCAATGAAAAAAAATATATTTTGGGGAAGGATCAGCGTCCCGTGTTCCCCGTAACTGAAGTGTACAACACCAGTGCATTAGTCGAGCATCCGCCTCAAAGTTGGGGGAAACGAAGTGTTACGAAGCATCACCAGCATCATCTGACAGTGCCTCAGCAATCTCAGCATCGTCATGATCATAAGAAGGAAACACAGCAGTTGAGTCCAGTAAAGAAACGAGTCAAAGAGAGCACTCCACCAAGCAGCATGAGACGTCACTCACCATCCAATGGCCACTGGCAGCAGCAATCGATACAGTCATCTCATCATCATACTGGAAAGCACGCTGGCAATCATAATGCTGAACATCAGCAAGTAGCTGCAGTACGACAGCAAACCATCACCATTCACGACACACCCTCTCCAGCGGTCTCGGTTATAACCATCAGCGACAGCGAGGATGAAACACCTGGAAAATGGTTCGTTAAATGTTACATGATTTTTTTTTTTTCATCTATATTTTATGCGATAAAACTTTTAGTAATTATCACAGAAGAGATTCAAACATGGTAATTAACCGTTAATTTAGAGAATTGGGAGAAATGTATGGATGTCGATTGGTAAATGTCGTTATTTTCGAGGTCTGAGTTTCGAATGATGCATGAATGTCATTGACAGTTGCGGAGACCGTCAGTGTGGAGCTTGCCAAGGGTTAACATGCCACCTGTCTGGCGCCCGACGTCCTGTGCGCGAGGAAGTCATTCGAAGGTATTAACTTAATAAAAAAGAAAAAAAAAAAAAAAGAAAACGAGACGATATTGGCTAGCAATATACTTGGGAGCGGTTCACAAGAGACAGTTCATTTGAATTATTCAATTATACTTAACATTATAATTTGCAGATATTCTTTTATTCTAATAATAGCGTCATTTAATCGGAGAGATCGATCCATCCAGAATTGATCTTAAAGATTCCCTGAATAAAGAAAAAAAAACTCCTACTCCTCCTACATCACAAGTAGAATTTTAAAATGATTGATTTCACGTACAATGACTTACCCATATTCCTCCGCCTCCTAATAACAGTAATCATCACTAATTTTAATCAGGAATGCATATATCAAATAATTCGTCATTAAGGACAATCATACGATATTATGGTGAATGCGTTATGGGAGGAATTGATTAATTGATTAACCTAAATGAAACATTTATCTAGCAATGCTGGGGGTAAATATTGAATAGAGCTGAGGCACACAAAAGGACCTGAATGGCAGAACTTTATTCTCTTTTAACCTCTCACTAATCTATTCACCTTTGAAATTGGTCAAGTATTAGTGAGATTGGATTTTGTTCTGGTTGCAGCACTCAGTCAACACCTCGCATCATTCTTAATACCCAATCAGTGCATTCATTAAGTCAACCTCATGTTCATGGTCAGAATTCTCATGGTAGTACAAGGACACATCGGAAAAATGTGATAAGCTGTGTCACTGTAGGAGATAGTGATGGAGAAGCCAGTCCTGGGAGGGCTCACACACAGCTCTATCCTCCTTCGCATTTATCCCAAAATCAACAGCATCCACAAACTACGCAGCATATCAAGCATGAGCCACAGCCCCAGCATCACGTGAGGTATGTTGAACCATTATTGTTATCTTGATTAATTCTTCTTTTAATTAGGTTAGCCATATTACACGTTATTTATTACTTTTCGCTGATTCCACAGACCTAACAATATAAAAATAAACTTTTTGCTTCCTCGAATAATCATAGTTCAGAGCTGTCCAACTCTTTTAAGAGTTGCAATATCTAATATGAAAAATACTCACTGCTTCTTTCTCTCTTTCTTTCTTCCTTTCTTTCTTTCTTTCTTGCAGCTCTGGCTATTCGCAATCACAAAAAAAGCGATTACTGGCTAAAGTTCAATCAGAATGCAACATGATAAATGTAGCAACGAAACCGGAACCGGGCGTTGAGTATCTCGCTCCACATCCGTGCCACGCGCCAGCCTGCAAGGAGCCACCGACCTACCAGGTGAAATAATAAATAATGCTCTTTATTTTTCACGCATATATCAATTACAACATAAATAGATACCATTTCCTGGGAAGTCATGAATTAATTTTAATTCAACAATGGCCAGTATATCAACGTGGAAATTACAATTTTCATTTTCATTAAAGAAAAAAAAAAAACAAGTATTTCAGAAAAATCTGATTTTATCAGTGAGTCAGCCACTGGAAAGAGGCAATTCACCAAAAAAATAACAATTCCCCGGAAATGTTTTTTTAGGCTGACGTCTATGACATGCATGACTACTTATTGCAGTATGTGACCACAAGTAGCGCGCATCCACACCTTCAAGAGCAGCATATTGTTTACACGACTGGTGCCGAGAAGCGTGTGTCATGGCCGGGTAAAAGAGCTGATTATAAGCACGAATACGTCCAGCCACCGGCTGCTCACTCCAGGGATCATCAGAAGTGGGCTGTCGCCAACCCAGTGCACCAGTATCGGTATCAACAACATTTTTACTTTTATTATAATGCATGTCAACAATTCTTCATGGGTAATTCGTATTATTTTGATTGATTGTTTAATTTATTGATTTATTGATTTACCGGATGGATAAATGGATGAATCAGGGGAGACATATGAATTTAAGACCAAGTTAAAGAGTCAAAAGTATGGAAAATAGCACAATGAGATTTGATAAGTGTGTTGTTGTTGTTGGTGTTGTTGTTGTAGTAAATTTGGTTTTGTAGGCAGAGCCAGGTGGTGGGATCGGCATCGCATCCAAGTCATGGCCACAGCCATCACGGACATCCTGCTCACCTGAGTCCTGGTGGCGGTGGCGGCGGCGGTGGTGGTGGACGGAGTCCGGCTAACGGTCCTGTTGTAGGGAGCAGCCAACATCTTGGTCAGCCCCTTTATCAGGAATACGCTCATGTACGCTCACGTGGACATCCTGTACCACCGCCAGTGTACGTTACTGCTGCTCCATCGCAAGCGCCAACAGCGATACAACAACAGCAAGTGCCCACCTACCAGGGATTCACACCCGGGTGGGTACCTAGACAACTAGTTGATGCATGCATGTGTGTACCAATTTATTATATACCTTATTACATTTACCCTTTTTACTTTAAACTCTATTGTGACGTCGTCAATAATTCCTTCTGTCATTAGCAATTTGAGTCATTTGGCTGGTATTAGAAAAGGATCGAAAAATTTTTAAGTATTTCATCTTTTATATAATAATAGATCAATTTTTTCAATCTTGTCTGCAATGAAATTTATTGTTCATAATATTGCCTTATTAAATAATAATAATAATAAATATAATTAACGGATGATGTTTAATTTTTTGCAGCTCGTCACCACTAACGTTGTATGATTCTAGTCGTGCACTTCCACCACCAGCACATCATAGTTCGGCTAGACCACTGCTGGCAAGCCACGCGGCGCATCCATTACCCGCACACATGCAGCCAACTGCTGTTTACGGTTTGGCACCGCTATCGCCAGCTAAACATCAATATCAACCGTCCGGTTTGTGGTTCACCGAGTAATTCACCTGTCAACTCCCACCGGAAGACCGGACGAGACAAGCATTACATCATCACCACAGGGTGCGACTAATAGTTAATTTTTTGTTAATTACTTAACGTAAATGCATATGTTAATACAGGAGAAGCGGTGTTAATTGACATTTCAATCTATGAAGAAAATTGTCGCCTTTTATAGAGCTGTATTAGGTCATATTCGTAGCTAAATTTTTCCAATTACTTTAATACATCACAAGTTCTATTCTAATCCCTCCGAAAATTATTAATTCACATTCAATGAACCATATCCAATGGTTTTACGTGCGCAATTAACGGATTCGGAGGATTTTATTTAATAATATTTTTTCTGAATTATCCAGTGTTCAAACGAGTTGAATTTTTCAACGGAAGTAATGAAAACTTTTCAGCAAATGAAAAAAACTTATACTACATTGAATTAATAATTCAACACTGGACAATTCCTATCCCATTAATGGCACTGCTCGACACAATAAAGCAATCGAATTTTACGTATATTTTTATGTTCTATTTTTTTCATTCTTCTTCTCTTTTTTTTTGTGACTAATAGCCGTGTATATTTCAATTAAAATGTCAACGAATCAAAATTGCTTTGAGTATGAGGTCTCGGTACAGACAAATCAATTATTCGTCGCATTTTTATACAAAGGCATTATTAAGAGTACGTAATAAGTATCAGACAAGATGTTGGCGGTTTAATCTAACAGCCTGGAAACTAATATAATTATTTCAATGAGTGATTTGCCCTTAGTAGAAGCGTAGAAAAGTTGATTGTAAGTTCCTTAGTTAGGAGCAATACGAATGACAGTCAATTGCAATTTATGAACAGCAACGGCTAACTATAATTTCATAGAGCCATTGTGATTTTAAAGATTTTCGATCACCTCATTATCATTTTCATTAGGGAATATTATGTTTAAGTGTTTAGGAAAGACATGCGTAGTCTAATGCTTTCATGATTTTGTAGAAAAAAAATTAACGAACATGCAGAAAAGTAACTAATTGTGCTTGAGGAAGATTTTATTGGCTTAGTTTTTTTATTTTGGCTCTTCGATATATGATTCGGCGCATATACTGTATAAAATAGATTATTTTACTTATTATTTTGTAATTGTAAATAACTGAGTTATATTTTTTAGGATGATTATGTTTTTGAAAACATGAAACTGAAGGAACATCAATTTGCATAAAAACAAGTTGATAATATATTTGTTTGTATAATGAGTAAATCAGATTAATTGTCGATATTAATAGAGGAGTATGGATAATTTTTATTTTAATGTACGGACACAGTACATTGCGATAGTAATGTTAACAATCGAACAGTGAGGCTTATTCTAACTACACCCAATGAATTTTCGGGGATAATTATCGCGCAGTCCATCCTACCTGGATTCAATTTGTAAATAATAAATGTGAAATATCTAAATATGTATATAGAAGGATGTCTCTTGCAGATAATCCTTTAATAGAGTAATTCTTTATTATTTGTATGAAATTATTTGTTTTGTTAGTAGTCAGATTCGACTGTATGTTTTTCCGTTCATAATTAGCTAAAAGATGTGTATACATAAGGAGTAGGAATTCTTCACATTTTTCTGACAATTTCGTCTTATGTTAGTGTAGATTTTTTGTTCACCGCCAGATCATGTTCTTCCCGTAGTGTACATTATTTCGAGTATCTTATTTAATACTGAAAGCTCATTACTGTCCAGAAATGTTATTTAATGATGGAGGAAAGAGGAAGCACAGGGAGTTGGGCCAATGCTAATCGAGATAACGGAAATATTTTAAAAACAAAAAAAAAATGATTTCAATTGTTCATTTTGACTTGTTTTTCCTATTATCTCACATTGCAAACAGCCAAATTTTTAGTTTTTATTTTTAGAAGAATATCGGTGAATAAAAAACCGTTTGACGTGAAGTCATTAAATTTCCGCTTTCTCAATTGAGATTGCCGCATTCCCTAGTACCTCTTCTCTCCTACATTAATTCCGTAATAATCCCAGATAATCATCTTCCTCATTATAATTATTTTCACACATAATTTGTCAAATTCCAAGACTTATTTCTTACAAAGGTACTGGGACGGCCAAGCTTGCCGATAATTTACATTTTAGACAAAGAAAGAAAAAAAAAATTTTATATTTTTGGGTTTTACTCGATACTGTATAGAACGAGTAATCTCTAATTTTAAAGAAAATAACAATCATGATGGAGAAATTATATCTATAATGCAGAGGATAGAGTTGGTGTAAAAATTTTATCAATGTTTCTAATTGATTTCACCTGTGGGATCGAGGAGTGAAATTAAAGGTGTGTTCCAGTGTTGAATGAGCCGAACGTTTGACTAATTCAGACTAGAGAGCTGATTACTGCGAATGTATCATTCAAAGACTGGACCACTGAACATCTTAGGCGCTTGTTCTTTCTTTTTTTAAACTTGAACTTACTACTGACAAATTCATGTTTTGCGATTAATTCAATATAGTAAGCTCTCTTCCAAAGACGTAATAACATCAAAATGAGTTGACTATTTTTTTTTTTTTTTCGGTTTGTCAACAACAAAACGTCATCTTCATGATGAGCGAAGGGGGTATGTTATTATCATAATAAACTACTACTAGATTATTATATGACTAAACTCATATTTAACCAAGTTGATGTGCCTGTTTAACGACTTAGCGTATCAAATACGAATATGCCCAAATTAAAGATTCTATTATATGATCAACTTATTGGATATAAGTGGCAAGAATATTAAACAGATGTTTATCATAATATGTGGATCTAAATATCATAAACTGTCTTTACATGTTTAATATTTCATTAGAATTATATAATACCATTCACTACTGCATTATTTCCGTGTTTCAATTGTATTATAACATTTAGTCATTTCAATTGCTAGTGTAGCATTTTAGTCAATTGTATGATAGTTTTTGCATCAATTTTATCTCATCGTCAATACAGATTTTCTTAGGAAATGATGAATTATTGCAAATGGCATTAAATTCGTTTGGTAATTGCGCATTTGTATGGTAAATGAGCGATTTTACTTTACTATTACTTATTGATTGGAAGTTTTAGGTTTTTTTTCTCCTCGATTGTTATACTCGATAAAGTATGTAGTAAAACCATTTTACATTGCATAGTCATTCATAAAGTCATGCAAGCGACTAGTGCGCTGAATCACTTTACCATATAATTTCATTAAACTTGACCTTATAAATGGCCACCTATATATGTCGTTTGCGTTTAAGTGAAGGTGAAAATAATTATTACGAAAGCAAAACTCGATAAATAACGATGATAATAAAGTATAGTAAAATAATTATTATAATATTAAAGAGGGGAGAAATACTGTAACTGTATATCAATGGTTCTAGTTGTGATATTTTACTAATTTAATAATTTTTACTATTAGAAACGAGAAAATAATAATTATATATTTGGTAGTCCTAGCTGTAGTGCCTAAAATTTCGATCAAGAGGACTGTCTCGGAAATAGTTGATGAAGATAAAGCATTGCAAGGGATGATGAAGTAAAATGAAGAAATTTAAACAAAGTATTTATATCAATGGTGACTGGGATGCATTATATTATTTATAATAGACAAATTATTCTAATAATCCTCATGTTTGCGGTTCATAGTAATTAGAAGAATTACTACTTAGTGTAACGAACGAAGAGTTATTGAGAAAATTTGTAGTAGTTGTAAGTTGATATGAGAAATGAAATATTTTTGAAATTAGAGAACGATGATAGATGTAATTGTAGTTCTTATTTTCGTGGTGTGTTGAGGCATTGCAGAGTACTATTGTCGCTTCTATTATTGGAAAAACTAATTACTGCGGGGATGAGGAAAATTTAGAAAGGGCAGATGTAGTTTTTGGAGATAAGGTCTATCGCCTATATTTCGCATGGGGAAAGCATCTCTCTTAATGAGATAAAAAATCTGTGACTGAGGGGAAAAAAGTTAATTTCATTTCCAACGAAAAATTGTCCTCAAAATGTTTAATATCAAACCAAATAATAATGTTGCCATTTTTCCCTGCACTACTCAAATAATTCTAAACTTTAAAAAAACAATGAAAATAGTGAAAGAATTCAATAAAATCAGAATTTTTTTGTAATTTGTGGTGCGCATAACACCGATAAATCTAAATCAAACGTACCACTAGTTTGCTATCACTACCTAAGGTAGAAAAACTCAAGTGAATGATACATGATAATCAAAAAAAATAAATAAAAAAAGAATAAAAACTAATACTATGGGTTTAAGCTCAATTTCAAACAACAAAAATATGCTCTACTGTCAGGTGTTTTTTTTTTTTTTTTCAACAGACTGACTCAGATGTATTCAACCGTCCACACGTGATTGTAAATAGGTTCTCAATTATCAATTTTCACCTGCGAGATGCGGCGATAGAAGTTTTCCATTGCGTTACCTGGAATATTTCCTATAAATTATTAAAAATAATTAAATCACTGCTCTTAGGATGTTATATTTATTGAATGCGACAAAATGAGTGAATAATTTAACTAAATAAAAAAATGAGTACTCCATTGATGAACTCTCCACTACTGCGAAATTATCGAAGATACGAAAGGCAATACGTAGCCACTATTCAAACCCACAAGTAACAACTCAAAACTACATCCTAAATGGAATTCACGCTCTAATAAATAATAATTATTCAATTGCTAATTTGTAAATTACAAACTGTAGGTCCGTCAAAAGTAAGTTTCAATTTAATTCTCAATATTTTTTTTCTTCATCATCACATCAATAATCGGACATAGTAATATGAAGAATTTGGAAATTGAAGATCCTTAAAATGAAAAACGGCACTGAGAAAAAAATTACCAATAGCTATAAATCTAGAAACTAATTAATTCATATTGTTAATATTCACTGATGATAATACGTAATCTTCCCCTAATAGTATTTTATACGGCTATAGCATTATGGATAAATATTGAAACTTGCCAAGAGTGATTACAAATTGAATGATATTTCGTTGAAAGTTTATAATTAACAAAAATTGTAAAAGTTTTACACTTCATTTAACTTTAGTTTGCATTTTTGTTTAAAATTATCTAGAGAATTATTGAAAGTAATGGATAATTATGAATTACGTATAGATATTGAATCATTAGTAGAGCCGATCGGCTCACTACCGATCTTCAAAAATTTATAAAAATGGCCTTGTTCACTGATTTTACATCGCCTTCTTTCCAACAAAAATCTTCATTACTGTAATCAAGTTCACTGATACTTCACCATCTGCAACCGTGTGTACGTACACTCGTTATAATTACGATACAAGAGAAGTACTAGAATTAAATAATTATTTTGCCAAGATATTCCGAGTTCTTAAGAGAAAAAGAACAAAAAAAAAAAACCGAGGAGAAACAAATACCTACTGCACATACTTATACTTGTGAATAATTGATCAATATAATAGAAATAGGGCGTAATCAAAGTCCTTTAAATTTTGACAAAAATATTTGCATGCAAATATTTGGCAAATATAAGTAACTGCGGAAATACTTTAAAGGAGAGAAACATATATACAATATACAAAAGAAAAATGGTAACAATTTTTCGAATTGAATTGTGAATATCATGTAGAAGCTGAGGGAGAGAATGCGAATTCGGATTTTGTAATTATCTCCATTTTCAAAGTATAATAAATGAAGATTTTAATAAATTGACAAATTTTTCAATAAATTAGCCATGTCTAGAAGTAAAAAAAAACATTATGCATTACTACTGTGATGGCATGGATATAAAATTAGTGTGTTTTTGGTGAAGAAACTGTGGAGCATCGAAATTTCTTGACTATTCGATCGAAGTACAAAGTATTAGATTTAGTTTGAGCATGAACCAAATTTTTATGCACACAAGTAAATGAGAAGGAGACAGTCAAAACATTGAAATTCAAGATGAAATGGAGTAATCTAATAATTGAAGGTAAATAGGCTCGATAGTTTGGCAATTGTAGTCTTGAGGCTAAAATGGTGACAAATTTTACGTGAAAAAAAATATATGGTTTCCACTACCCACTCACAATAATGGAACACGAGAAGAACCTCTAATGTATTGAATACATAAGATATCTATATTTATATTTGTATGGGCTGATTATGATAATTGTACTGTATAATATAATCAATAATCCGTTAGTGGTTGTCGGCTGTTGTTATTTCTCGAGGCACATGGGCAAAAAAAAATAAGTCATTGTCATTGTATAATTGTTATGGCCTTGAAATGTTATAATTAGCGAGAAACAATGACACCGGACCAAATTGAATCCGCTGTAATTAAATAGTATAATCAAATACTAAAGACTAATGCTTAAGGTGATCAATAAAGCTTCAGTATACGTGATATTTTCGAAGCCGTAAAAATATTATATATTTGAAAAATGAATAATAATAATAATAATAATAATAATAATAATAATAATAACTGAAAGAATGGTACACATATAAAAAGATGAGGTGATGAATATTATAGACAAAAGATTAATGCACTCTGGTATCAGATGATATATTATTGGGAATAGAGGCTCATGGAAAATACTTGGCTTTGTTTTATGTTCGTTCTCGTTGTTGTATAATGTGCTGTATGCTCATTAACTATTAGATATTATCTTATGTTGGGGAACAATAAATTTTTTGGGAGAGCGACGCTGAAACTGTCGACGACTCCACTATTCACAGTTTTCCTCATTTTTATCCTTTATTTCATGTATTTCATTATTTAAAAAAAAAAAAAAATATGCATTCAATTTCAACTGAAACTTCAAGGCGTTTCTATTTGATATTTCAAGTTCATTGCCCAGTAAATAGCTATTTATTGTCTGTCCTAATTTCTCTATTCCATCTCTTAATTATCATTACTCCGGCGATTGAATCAATCAACATTCAAAATTTTTAAACCTGCAGCCGATATATTAATAAACATCAAGTCACATTTATTGCTTTTTATATTGAAGAAAATTAATGACTGTTGTGATGAGATAGGTGAATATATCTATTTGCACTAGCATAGAATCTCTCATATTTAAGCTCCAGGTATACCGCGCATGCCTTTTTTATCTCGACCACAAATGAAAACATTCAGTTTTATCATTTTCAAAACTTCTATATAACGATCGGCCTTATCTTCATTCCCATGTTTTCCCCTCTAAAAAGAAATCCTTTTGAGATGAAGGTTTTGTTTCTCTCAATGAATATAAATCAATTAACTTCTAATCACACCTTGTTCGATATGAATACTAAGTAGTCTTTACGAAAACCCGGTCGCTCACATTGAAAAATATCACCATTTTCTTAAATTGCATATAATTCATTGAGTTCATTTTAACTTGGCCATTTACCATTCAATATAATATTGACAAATTTGGGGGAAAAGCTATCTTATATTTAATGTATAATTAATTCAAGAATATTATATGAGAACATATCCCAAAAATAGAAAAAAAAAATCACATTTTTCAAAAATATTTCAATTTTAATGGGTGAGTTGATTGAAATATATTTTCCAATAGTACTCATAATCCTATATTTTCTCTGAAGATTTTCGTGCATGTAATTATTATTTGCAATACAATAAGACCGGTAGAAGTGACCTATTAAAGCACCTCTAAATTATCCGCAATGACGATAGCTATCAAAGTAGATTAGGGTTTAGGTGGAGGGATTCAAACGTTAGCTTATTTAGAAAAAAAACTCAACAACATTAAAAAAGAAATGAAAAAAAAAAAAAAAAACAGATAATCCGGAGTTTTCATTGTGAAATTCTATTCGACTTCCTATACATTTGTACAGAAATTTCCACAATTTCTCTCCCTATTTGATGGTTTTTTTTTTCAAATACAAATGCCCAAAAAATATTCAGGATGGCGTGGTATTATATTATTTCATTACAATTGGTCCAAACAATAGAATAAAATTCATACCATTCACGCGAAATTCTTTCATAGGTGAGATATCAATGCTTCTTGGTGTTCGGTACAGAGAGAGAATCAATTATCCAGCGTCATGATAAGTGATAACGCTCTAGTCTCTCTAGAGAGCAGAATACCCGCGCACAAGGCATTAATTCCACTCCACTTGCATAATTGAGACTTAATGCCAATAGTGCAAAAAATAATAATAATAATTGAATACGACTGAATATGGAAAACAATTTTAACTCAAATAATTTCCCCTAACTAATTATCCCCAGTCTTAAACACTAATAATTGAATAATCTGAGACAACCAAAATATTACTGTACAGCGTCTAATCTGTTGAAATATATCAGGGTGAATATAGAAATTGTATGATAAATATGAATGTAAATATGAATAATCAATAATTTTGGGAATAAAGTTTTGGAAAATAGGGATTCGTCACATTAATTATATTGGGTAACTGTATTGGTCAAAAAATAACAACAGTCAACACGACATATTTATCAGAAAAATTTCGTAAATATGATTTTCATTAATTTAAAATGAATTTTTAGAAAATACTAGGAGTCTGATAAAAATAGTATGATTAAAAAATTCTTCTACTCTAATATTCTACTGAAAATTAAACACACATGTTTTACTTTTTTTAATCGATGATGTGTAGGACATATTAGCTTCCGCAGATAACTTAAAACATTGTCAAGGCAATAATAACGACTATGTAATGTGTATTAATGGACTGTGGAAGATAAATATTTAATAAACACTGAATGTTGCCTTTTTCGTCACTTTACTTAACGAATATAATTATCAGAAAAAAAATGATAACAATGTAACTGATATGTGGTAAGCCAAGTATGGATTATATTGATAGTGAAAATTCATAAACAAACTGTGCTGTGTTAATGTGACACATTATAATCCTACATTTCAGTGTAGGCATTCAATAAATTCACTGGAGCCAAGGAAATTCAATTATTCACTTATTTATTCCATAGATTCTCATCACACCAACGTACAAGAACTTTTTATAATGAATTTCATGGGACAAGTGTGCTGTGCATTGAATTATTTAGAACCTCTAACTGAAAATATTCACATAGGATTTGTCAAATTTTTAGATGCATTCGAAGAATTGATCATTTTTTGCGTGTGTAGAGTTGCATTTGCTTGCATGAGAATTTCTGGTTCGGGAATTTTGGGCACATGGAAAAAGCATAACATGAAACCAGTGGCCAACAGCAGATGCATACCAAGGATTACGGCGATATAAATTGGTTTCTGTTTACCTAGAAAATATTAATTTTCCATTAATTTTCATGGAGAGGATAAAACAAAGCAAATGCATCCTCTCTCAATAAATATGGGAAAATCTCACCAGTAATCGATGGCATAAGTGAACGCAATAATACTCCCCCTGAGAGAATTGCTGCAATACCAACGAGAATCCATTGGAGCCAGCCGATCTGAATTGTCCACATAAAGGCAGTTGGAATGTAAATAGACAATGAATACCCATAAAGGCACAGAAGCTCGAGAAGCCCTGGAGGTTTATTTGTCTGAAAAAATTAATACAGTAGTGAATAAATAGGAGACTCATTTGACTTTATTAGAGATAGATTTTACCTCAATTAATTCAGCATCTAGATCAGCATCGTTTGGTTGATTAGTCCACTTGACAGCAGCCCAGATAACCAGTGGAAGTAGCCAAACATACAGGAATATACATGTGGCTGCATATGAAACAATATGAAACTCATATCTCCAATGGTGCTGACCGGTATACGACGCCTGCAGATAATTAGCTAAATTTCCACTGACAGCAATAGCAAATATCAGGGTAACACAGATCCAGAAAGGTCCATAGAGGTCGGGATTCGGTCGTATGTGGGACAATAAATAATTGTCGGTTCCATGTGGAATCATTGACTTCTTAATTCGTTGCAGAACATCGTTCGTATCGACATTGAAAAACTTTTGATAATATTCCACTGTCCAGAAGTTCTTTGGTGTGCTATTGGCTGACCATAATAATTCAAGGATTTTTAGAAAATTAACTCTCAGGCTGACTAAATCGAAGCAATATGGCGAGTACCTTCTTTCTCCTGGGGAAGTCCACGTAACTCTTCCATCATTCCAATTGTCGTGGCATCATTGGGGAATCGTTGGTTATTGCTCAGATGCTGATGGTCGGGGCTGCTGAGATCCAATTGGGCCTGACCTCCACCACCTGGTCTGTTTATTGGTGAGAAATCATGGAACGATATGAACTGCGAGTCATTATTGCTCTTCCCAAATTGATCATTGTCCATGGTTAATCAGATTTGTTATTTCCACAAATTATTTTCTTTTTATTTACGAGTTAAGGGTGTCTTTAGTCAAGCCATCCTATTCGTTACTTTCCTTTTTTTATATTCCTATCCTATCCTTTCCTATTAAAAAAAGTAGAGCACTGTCATGGCGCTCACCACAAGTGTCATAGCGCAATGCTAAAGCGGCCTCGACCAAACAGGATTGACTAAAGTAGAGGTTAACTTCTGAGGGGTTTGAGTGACCGCAGCGACATCGTAGTATCTCACCCCAAGAGAGAGGGGGCGCCACACAGGATGCCGTTGGGGGGGGGG